GTGTTTTGAAAATGATAAGTCGAACTGACACCTCCAGGATTTTTAGTTTATTGCATTCTTTGATTTTCAAGGGATGGTGTAGCAACATTTTCTCCCTCTTGGGCAGACGATCACTAAGGAGTACTACAGCTCTGTACTAATGACACTATGTGAGCACATTGCCAAGAAGCGGCCAGAGATGAAGGAGACATGGCTCCTGCACCACGACAATGCCCGCCCCCACACGGCCCAGTACACTAAAGAGAATAGATAAACATAGGATTGTCTGTCTTCCGCATCCCCCTACAGCCCGGACCTTGCACCCTGCGACTTTTGGTTATTCCCTATGTTGAAGAAGGGCTTAAGAGGCAAGAGGTTTAACTCCGTCAACGAAATAAAAAGAGCTGTTGAAACTTTCTTGAACAACCTCAGGAAAGAAGATTTCGAAAAAACATGTTTGCTGAAGTGGGAAGAATGATTGCAGCGCTGTGTGGAAAGTGAAGGAAGGTACTTTGTGAAGAAAACTAGTGTCCAGTCGTCTATTGAAGATGAGCATATGCTAGTAATCTTGGTAAGATTCTGTTAAATTAATTTATTAAAACCACTTGGATCTTTAATTCTTTGTTTATTTTTTTATCAGAAAAAAATGCTATAAATCCTGGAGGGGTTAGTTCGATATGTCATTTTTAAAACACTGTGACTTAATCATTTTTTCACTTAGAGAGTTCGGATTGGTCTTGTTTTATTGGTATTTACTAGAACATTAACTCTACACAAACCGTACTTTGATATCTGCTACGTTCGCCAGGAAAAAAAGAACGTGCAGTAATTTTGGGACACCCTATGTAGGAGCAATTCAGTCTCATCAGGTTGCTATTCGTGCGTGGTTCTGTATAATGTCAAGATCTTTTTCTCTTCGTTTCTCTGTGCTGTTTTTTCTTGTCTTTTGGTTTCGATCAATAATTTCTGCTTTTTGTCCTCTTCAAGCTAACTATGATTGCCAAAGAACGAGACCTTTTGACCCGCGAGAGATTGTGGTGCGGTTTGTCGATATTTGAAATCGTCTTGTCTCGCCTTTGTGGGTTCCTTGATGATCCCATCTGGGTGGGAGCACCACCCACCAACGGAGTCATGAATATCGATGAGCGCACGGAATTTCATAGGCTGTGGTCTGCTCTGCAGTTTGTTTATTCCATTCCTGTCGGAGAGATGGAATTCACTGTCGAGTGAGTACTCTTTCTTGATATTGAATTTATAACAGGGGACTGTCCAGCTAAATTCCAAACTACTCCCAACTCTTCCCCCCCCCCCTTAATGTTACTTACTGCGTCTCTACTTAACTTTGGCCCTTTTCATTTCTTTTAAAGAAAAGTATAACATTGATTTTATTTAAAATATGGTGCAGTACTGATTATGATGTGTAAAAGATTTATAGAAAATGTTGAACGGTTGTGTTCTTTTCAAAACTCGAATCAGAAAGGCGTTGCTGTTGTGTTGTACTGCTCAAATGTGTCCAAATATGTATGTGTCGCAATATTTTTCATTCTTTGTTCCTTTTTTATTTTTCAAGTGTTATTGTTTGCCCTAGTATTTTTCTGGAATAATAACTCCCAATAATCTAGTGCAAGTAGATGCGAGAAAGTCTTCAGGGACTTCTAGGGTGTTCTACTTCACTCATCGCCCTTGCAGGATGAGACCCCTTTCCAAAGAGTGTTTAATGCAAGTAGACAATATTTATAAACATATTAATGTGATTAAATCTCTGGATGGTTTATTTTCTCTTTTACTATGATTCTTGTGTCGTCTTCCAGGGAACTTTTCGGTGAAGATCTCAACTGGGCTGGTTGGACGATGATTGTTCTTCTAGGATAGCAATGCAGATTCAAAGCCCTCGACTTCTGTTATCATATTTTAAGAGTCCAGAGGGTTGACGGGAAAGACGAAAACGTCAAAGGCTTTGTAAGTCCATTTAATCATTTTTTTAAAAAATAATTTTTGTTGTCGTCCCCCCCCCCAAATCAGTTTTGAAGTAATAAGCAGTGGCTAAATATTAAAAATACACGTGTAAAAATGAAGAGATCTTTTGTTTCTTTTCAATATTTGCCTATTCAATCACCCATGTTTATTATTTTTTTTTTTTTTTTTTTTTGCCCATAAATTATTTTCCAGTTTTTTCTAAGAGGTTATTGAGTAATCACTAATCCTTTCACGTATGAGAAGTAACAAGTTGACTTCATAGGATGTCTCCAGCTCCTGAAAACCAGGAATTGTCAGAAAATTCCATCAGGTCAAGGAAATCTGGAAAAAGTAATGTAATTTTATGGTAGAAATCAGGAATTTGTAAAATCTTGAATGTTGAAATCTGAAAAAATATCACTGGTATCCACGCAATCAAAAAGGAGCTCATCAATTTGGTTAGGAGCTCATCAATTTGGTTAGGAGCTCATCAGTTTGGTTAGGAGCTCAATGCTCGGAGTTTTTCGTCATTTGTAGTGAAATTAACCTATGTCAAAAATTTTTCATTTTCAGTTCCATGTGTGAAAACAGTTGACATGGAAAGTCAGAAAGTTTTAGTAGGGAAAACCTGCAAAAGACAGGAAATTTTTTCCTGCTGAGGCTGTAGACAGGTGTTCAGCTCACAGAAATTTTCTTGGATTTTTTTTTTAATGAAAACAACCTACAAAAATCGAGTTCAAAGTTGCAAAGTTTGAGCTTCCATTCCGATGGAAATTGCTGAGAAAACTAAGATAACACAGAAAAATATCTGTCCTGTTGCAAATACATTTATGAGGGACCCATTGTGATTCCTCTGCCGAGATTCATGGTCTGAACAGCATTGTTGCCAGATAGTGCTGAAATCCCAGTGCATTTCTACATTTTACTAATTGTCAATTTCTTTTCTCACAATCTAACAACCTTGCTGAGCAGACATTCCAATACATAACTGCATGCAGTGGAAGCAATAAAAGAATCAGGATTTGCCCGAATAAAAGACAAATCTTGTCTAAGAAAGATTTATTGATCTGGAGTGAAAACACCTAAAATCCTTATTTATCTAAAGCATCCATCTGTTTTCTGAGTGTTGTTAATTTCTTGTTTCAGAACCTCAAACGAATGGTGGACCAAATCCGCAGGTTCTAGGTGCTGAACTCTCAGATATTCGCAATGTTAAACAAGTACCTGAAAGCAAGCGAACATGATAGTGCCTCAGTCGAACATGTCTGCTGCTTCCCGCCATTGATTCACCCCTCCCTTGCAGCGCACGCACACTACTATCGACCGGAGAATCTGCAGTCACAAACCGTCCATAACCTCTAAATTCCCATGCCAAAAGGAATTTGTGATTTATCAGATTAATGTAAACAGTAAAGTTTTGTCAATAATAATCTCATATGGAAAGCTGAACTCCTCTTCGGTGACTATATATTCTCCTGCTACAAAAATCACCATGCTGCAAAATGGAAGTACCTATCTTACCTACCCACACAACAACATTTAGACGGCTTTAATCCGCCATCACAAATCTTGTTTGTGGTGTCTGAAAATCTCTGCCTCTATGTTATTTTCTTGCAGGAGAACAAATTGACACCATTCCTTGAAGTTTTTGCAGAATTTTCTTCGCACAGAGAAGAAAAATCACTGCAGTTTTAAAGAATTGCTGTTTAGCAGTTTTCCAGTTAAAAAATACAGTATGACAGGAAGTCTGCAACGTCCCAAATCGAGTTATGTGATTGCTGACTTACACGGTCGATTTGCACAATGAGCACTTGCTCTCAGTTAAAATTTTAAGTGTTTGTGCAGCTTTGCTTGCATTCTTCAACATTTTCTCCAAAATGTGGAGAACAAAACATTTAAATAATGCGATGGATCATTTTCATGGTTGTTCGAGCTGCAAAATTTTAGTTTAAATTTGATTCCTTTCTTATCTGATGCCGCAATCACATGCTGAATGTGGCTTGAATGTAGAAGTCTTAGTCCGATGCCTGAATTTTGCGCGTGTCGCGCTAAATTCAGCAACGATTCGCAGCGACCATTGGATAATGTCGGATTTGTCTGAACCACTCGAATAGATTTGATACACATATGGATGAAAATAACTCGAATTTGCGAAATTTCAGCTGTTGAGCGATGACTGTTGACTTCCATATTCAGCTGCCAAATTCAGCGTGTGATTTCGGCTTATCTCAATTTACTTACACTGATATGCCTGCCTCACATGATGAATTTAGCAGCCAAATATGGGAGTCCACAGTTGACATTTTGTAAATTTGAGTTTTCTTAACAAAGATTTACACGGAACTTAGTCAAATAGTGCAGACAAACTGATTACTGCTGAGCTTGGATCTTCATTGGTACCCATAATTTTGAGCCTCAAATTCAGGCATCCATGACTTCCACTTTCAGGAAATTCGGTAGGCGTTATATACAGAGGGATATTTTGAGAGATCACTGCGGTACCAGACCGAATGTTCCACTACTGAACATTTCAAAAGAAACTGTACATGCCCTCACTAACTTTAAAAATGAGATCTGTCCCAGCAGATCAATTATTGCTATCTAGTGAATTGGATGGAATTAAAGACATAGTTAGTTTGTGCATTAAAAGATAGAACTTATGCTGTAGCCTATTATGACTTATTCCCTTTTTCATAGTTTGAACGTTTGAATGGTTAAAGTCACACATGACTTTCAGGATAAATTTGAATGGTCATTGTCTACTGTTCAAGCGGGATCGTTANCGACTGGCCTGACCGTGGAGACAACGATGAAAGTAGGGGAAAGAGGAAAAGAGCAAGAAAATAAACGTGGGATTCCCAATCGCTGATAACTGATAAGTCGTGAATGTAGAATCGGTGCGAGAGCTATTATTCTGTGACCACTATAGCGGTGCACTAAAGTGTATGGCGGGTTACGGAAAACTATTTTTCGCAGGAATAACGATCCCGCTTGTTCATATGGACATGGAATGATATTCACAGCTGTGGGGAAACAAAACTGAGTGACAAAAGGCAAGATATGAGCAAGTTTTTTGAAGGCTTTAATTGATGAGATTTCATTTTCACTTTACAGCACAATCTAATATTACTATGAAGGCAATGGTGACACACTCTCGTTAAGTGATGTGACAGAAACTGATCATTAGATAAACAATGTTGAGTATCACTAGAGGTAGAAAACTTTAACACACAACATTGAAGATTTAAATACACATATCATGATTGCAGGATCATCTACAGTTCGCCAACTATGCAGCTTCTGTGAACACATAATATACTTTCCTCAGAAAAAAAATCATAGTATTTTCCAAGTGAAGACAGTTCTCTGCCTTCTACAGGCAAACCCTAAAATTACAGGACTGGGCCATTGTGGCAACTAAAAAAGTTGACATACCAATATTAAATGCGCCAAAATGCGTGTGTAAAAAGTTAATTAGGATCCTAAAAAATGGGTTTTATTCCTGCAAAGGTGTCGCCAACAATTGTAAGGGGAAGGCAGAATGCTGAATGCAGAGGTACATTCCAATAGTTATTTGATACCTGATATGGTGTTTGTTCAACACTTCTATTGAGTCTTCAATTGACTTAATGAAGAATCATTAAAACTGTCAGTACGTGGAGTAATTAACAATAATTACAGTATCATTTATGAGTTGTTTCCTTGTTAGACTTGTACTTTTTGATCAGGAGAGTATTCTGTAATTTTGTTTCTTGCAGTCTAGAAAATAGAGAAAAAGTCTGAGGAAATTAAAGAGGTTTTCTACTTACATGCTATTGAAACGCTGTGCTTGAAAAGATGGAGATATCTTACTGCAGGAACAGACAGATAATTGTGAACGTGGACGATTCAAAAAAATTTTACCTTCTGCCGATTGTACAACCTCTGTGAACAAACAAGGAAATTTTTTGGGTAACAATTTTAATATTCTTCACATGAAAAGATTAATTTCATCGGGTATTTTCAGCAGACACCTGAAGTGTTGATTTTCCCTTGAGTCTTTAATTGACTTGACGAAGAATCTTTTAAACATCCAGTAGGTAGGTGGAGTAATTGACAAAGATTACAGTAACATTTCGACGGTGTAAGTCGGCACATATCTTGTTTGCGGTGTCTGCAAATCTCCACCTCTATGTTATTTTTTTGAAGGAGAATAAATTGACATCATTCCCTGAAGTTTTTGCAGAATTTTCTTTGCACGGAGAAGAAAAATCACGGCAGTTTTAAAAATTTACCATCGAGTAGTTTTCCGTTTCAGAAATGAAGTATGACAGGAAGTCTGCAAGGTCGCAAACCGAGTTATGTGATTGCCGACTTACACAGTCGATTTATGAGTTGTTTCCTTGTTGGACTTTGTCTTTTTGAACAGGAGTGTATCCTGTAATTTTGTTTCTTGCAGTTTAGAAAACAAGGAAAAAGTCTGAGGAATGAAAAGAGGTTTTTTACTTACACAGTAACGAAAGGTCGTCCTGCAGTCCAAAGCTGGAGAGCGTTGGGATCAAAGTAGAAAACAGCATTTTCCTGCACTAAACCTGAGAAATTAGAGGACCAGAATCGAACACATTTTAACTGTGAATGCGCACTAAAGAGCTGACGTTCAAGATTAGAACTAATACTCCGCATCAATGACATCTCTCCTTCGCATTTCTCACTTATTGATCACAAAAAAACTGTTACAACTCTATACTTCAGGACCTATTTTATTACAAATCTAAGAATAAAACAGAGCTAATTATTTATGATATAGTGCTCTGTCTCATGCTCAACAATCTAACAGAACATTTTAAACACAAAGAATTCGAGGAAATGTAACCAACTCTGCTTACCCAAAAAGACCGTTGTTATTGACTAACTCACCCCAACCTCCACCGTCAATATTTTTTCTCATTGCTGGACGGTATTTCAGCCTCTGGTAAAATTATTTTCTGCGGAGATATTATTTTCGCCATCTAAAATTCATCTCTCTCCCTAATTTTTTTCTCTCTACTAACTGTTCCTCCATATCTGCTATTTTTTCCTCTCCCAGCCCTCTCCTCTCACCCTCTCTCTCCGAAAAAAGTCTTTACTTTTTTTACAAACGGCCCTTTTATGCGAATTTTGAACGACATCTAGGATGCTAGCAGGAAGGTCGGTAGCGTGCGTTGGTAGTCATCGATCCTCGCCAGTCAACAGTGTGTCAAGAGCGTGTTCTGTAACACAGGCTCAAGTCGGGAACTTATAATCTGTCTTGGTGTCGGCGTCAAGCTGAAACGGGTGTTATACCACTGCAGTTATACCTGATTTGCAGGCGATGCAAATGCACAATGCTTCACAACATTTTGCTGTGATTGGCGCAACAGGCTTCGCGCAAAATAAAACTCATTTTGAATGAGCGCTCCTCTCAGTGCAATAAATAAATCGCATACTAGGAAATTTCCAAGAAAGGGCTGTCCGTTAGAAGTAAGTATGTGCTTTGCTACTAATTTTAACCCGATTCTGAAAACACATTCAGTTAGTGAAATTGCAAATTCATTATTCATTCTTGAAATGATAACTTATTAACAATAAATGAAAAAGTAGTAAAATAGGGCTAGGTCCACACTACTTTCTAAGGAGAGCAAGGCCAAAATGTTCACAAATTTCAAATAGAGTTGAAAATTTGAGATCTATTGAGCATCACATTTTCAGCCCTGCTTCCTCCACAAAATAGTGTGGATCCAGAACTATATTTTACCACCTAGTTATGCACAGTTCAAAAAATGAATGAAATGCTTAGATCACTGAGGGGCGGAATACAATGGAACGCTAAAGAAATGCAAAAGTTTGGTAGAAGAAAATTGTGGTTTAAGAGACTTGGCAACGCTGGACGACGGACTCTTGCTTGCGCGCGCTATAAGCTTTTCCAATGGCTTTTCCAATTTTCCAAAGGAACAAGGACCAATAGACGCAGCCGGTTCAGTTTCATCAGTCCGACTGTCCAGTTCACAGTTTCCTCGACGAACCACAGCAAATCCATGATTCCAACAGTCGAAACTCTGAAATTGAAATCAAAATAAACAAACTCAAAAACGAAAATCTTCTGAAGTTCGAAGTTCAGACAGCTTCACGTTCGCGTAATTTGTTCTAAATTTTTTGATTCTGTTGTTCTATTTCTCACTTCTTACGTTAGCGCACGACCCAAGAATTTTTCCGTGAAATGTGAATCGTTATCGGAATGAAGTTGAGAACAACCCTCTTGTTCCTCTCTAAGAATGTGCACCTTTCATCATGGTTCTTTCAAATGACTGTAACGGATTCCATTAGATAGTTCATCTTCACATCATGGCAAGTCCAAGCCCAAAGAAACCGGAATTAGAAGGGAAGGAGGTCGTGATTTGCATCGGAGGCGGTGTACTTACGATTATTTTACTCTTCATCTTCGCCAAACGGCAGATAATGAGATTTGCTCTGCGCTCCAGGAGAGGTCCTCATGTACCCATCGGGCATGACTCCACCAAGGTAAAATCTATCCAAAAATCTGTATCCTCCAAACAGAGTACATATATTGACAATAGAATTATGGGAGCTAAAGCTACCTTAAGGTGATTCAATGGACGCCATATTTTCTGTCAGAACGCCATGCAATATATCGCATCGATTGGTTCCATTTTTTCAGCCACTCGTCTTTTTTCGCAAATTTTGAGATTGCAATCATGTTGCCCGGAGACTAAAAAATTTACTGACGAATTTTCACAAACAAATTCAACGTATTAAGGGCATGGTTTTTTTAGAGGAAAAATATCGCATGTGACACTGATATCGAAACTGCACTCGAATGCGATATTTTTCTGCCGAAAAAACCACGCCTTTTATACGTTGAATTTGGTTGTCAAAATTGATTCGTGAATTCTTTAGCCTCCTTGCAACAGAATTGCCATCTCAAAATATGAGAAAAATGATGATTAGCTGCAAAAATGAGACCAATCGATGCGATATATTGCATATCGTTCTGACACAAAATATGGTGTCCATCGAATCACCTTAATGGCACTGGATCCCCCAGACCAGTACGGCAACATTCAGATGGTTGCACCTCATGAAGCCCGTTTCAGATAACTTTGCCTTTTTTTGAATGCGCAGGAATAGAATTCTGCACTCAGCGTACTCTACAGGATTCCATTCCTGTGCCTACAGAAAAAATGCAAAGTTGTCTGAAAAGGACTTTACCTTGAGCTGCACGACATCAGGCCCATTTGAGTTACAAGGCAAAGTTTGTACACTCCCTCCATGCATTAGGAGTCTCTAAAATAGCAAATTAAACATAGATCCAAACACCATCGTGTATGTCTTCACCTGACACCTCTGCGCAGTGCCAAATGCATGCTAGATAAGCACAGTGGAACCTGATAGTTGAAATAGGTAAATCAAGACAAAATCACAGCACTCTGATTCATATTGTGACACTATGTACGGCTCAATGCCGCAGGTAATTTTCTATATGCTAACTTCAGCTTCCAAATCTAAGTTCTCATGCTATACCTCACATCTCTCAATTCTGCAGAACTAACTGTAGTGTGATTTTTACCTAACAGCTATCAAACAAATGGAGAGAAGGCCAAATTCTTTGTAGACAATGGCTTTTAGGTGTGTTCTAGTTGGAGTCCACACCTAATAAGTTTGTGCACTTTTAGACTGCGATGAAAGATCCACTATCTTGCTTCTTGCATTTACTCTCCAAGTAAAAGTGACTTCAGACGATCATCTGTTGCAGTCCAGGAGTGCATAAACTTATAATGTATGAAACCAACTGATCCAGCCAACATGCAATTCAGGAGCTTTGACATTAATTTTCGTTTTTCTGTGCAATTTTCAGTCTTTCAAGCGAGAAATAGAAAGACGCATTGAAGTAATCCCCAAAATATTGTACGAGCCAAAAATGATTCCTGACGATGATTCCTGTTACATTCTACCTCCGGATTCTCATCTGAAACCTTTTTATTGTAGACTGAAAGCTGTAGATGACATCAAGTTACTTGGTAATTCTTCCACCTGATCAACTCTGTGAACTTATTTAGAACTTATAGAGGCTAAACTCAACTGGATATCACAGGAGAGGAATGAAATTCAACACTGCCATCTAAAGAAATCTCACCTCTATTGATTAGATTGTTGCAAAAGACTTCAAATTTTAGGGAAACCAAAAGCATCTAGTATTATTTGCAATATTACATGGACCATCACAAATTCCTACATCAAATCCTATTATTGGCGGAGGATTAGAAATCATTTGTTCAATGCCATCGAATAATTAAAAACGGGTCAGTAGCACTCATTTTCTATAAGGACAGAGTAAACTGAGCCAGGCACCCTGCATGAATTTTACAGATTTTTCCTAACCCTAAATAACAAAGACAATCCGTTTTGAAACTGCCAAAAATGGGACCTGTTTGAAACGAGAGTTAACCATTTAAAATCTATCTATCATGCGGCAAGATTTGGTAATGTAAAGGTTTTTGAGCATTGGTTTGAAGGACCTTATTGTCATCAATTTTTTGGATTGATTCAGGCAGTTTACTACAGAGACTGACTGCTAGCAAACATATGGTTTTGCAAAATCTTAAGCATTTAACCAAAGGACAGTTGCACATCGCTACCACCTACACTTCTTTACGAATGAGAATCTTTCAGAATTTATTTAATTTTTAAATTGATAATACCTTATGCTCGCCATATCCAATTGCAAATTGCCTGGAAATCCTTCCCAATATCCTTACAGTATAGGGATGAACCGAAAAAGAGAAGGTTGACAGCAGCAATTTATTCAATCATGAACTTTAATTTTCATCGGAGAAATGCCCTAAGTCATAATACATCCTTACCATTTTAAAATTCCTGAGAATGCCGGTGCTCTTTAAAAATTCCCCAAGGGAGGAATTTCAAGAAGCTGAATGTATTTTCATCAAATTTCTTTTTCATTGAATTAATGTATTTTAGTTGCAAAGCTCTATCTTGAGCCGTTTTCAGGTTACAAATTGTGTACAGTTAGTCAGAATCAATGTTTGTTCAGCCTTTACTTAATTGATCAACTGCATAAGTATATCAATTTTATTTGCCTCAATTGTTAAATAGTAACATACATGGCTGTTCAGTTTAAGAGGTATTTACTTCACCTGTCATCAAAAGCAGACAATAAAAAGACTAAGATACTTAATTATTCAAATAAAAAAGATTAAGATGAAGTGAGAGACAAAATGTTTTATACTGAAATCTAATAGGTTAATGAAAAATAATTGACAAAAAGACCAATTTTGTAGATGTGGTATGCGATCAGTGTTCGAAACTCACCTTTGAGTCTCCGGAGCCATTTGGCCCATCAAGCTTCATGTTTAGGGTTTATTGAAGATTTTTTAGGGGCCAAATTGACTTTTTGGGTATATATTAGGGCGTATTTAGTGAAAAGTTAGAATCCGGTACTGGGTGTCAAAATTTCAAAAAATCACAAAACAGAAAAATTGGGATTTTTTTTTTTTTTGGGGGGGGGGGCACTTTTTAGGTGCCACATTGGCGCAGAGCCTTCACTTTTTAGACTGATTTCTTAGGCGCATTTGGCGCGTTGGCTCCTGTGAGTTTGGAACACTGATGCCAACTAATATTTGTTTATTTTTCTCTTGCACAGAGGCAGCAATAACAAAGCATGACCCCAGTCTAGTTCGGCATCCTGCTGAAAATCTTAGAGCTTATTTACTGAACACATTAGCTGCGCCCCTGAACGGTGCTGGGCAAAGAATTGTACATCAGTTCTGTGATCTTTACGAACATGCCCGCTACGACCCAGCAGAATTTGCTGATGAGGAATATCAAGCTTATTCTAGACTTCTTTTGAAATTAATTGATGCGTAAGTAGAAACTCTGTACTGCAGTAGTTTATATTCTGATAATTTGTAAGTAATCTGTGGGATTGGTTGCATTTTGACCTTTGTGATGAGACAAGGCTGTGAGAATTGTAAAAATTTAGATTTATTTCACAGGGTTGCCACAATCAAGGAATACCAGGAAATATTGAGCTGTATGTAAACATCGAGCAGGGGATCTTGGGCTTGGATATGCTTGGAGACCAATTTTGTTTTTTCATAAATTAAACCGTGTGCAGTGGCCGGCTCCGCTCACATATACAAACTTATCGGACGGGGAATAAAAACACCAAAGGAAGTATACGAAATAATAGTATAGGTAATCAAACAAGAAAATAACTAAAACATAAAGAAAACAAAATGAACCATAATGAAAACTTGACTGGAGTATCCGACTCTACATTTTGTACCAAATAATGGAAAACACTCGAGGTTAGTTGACCCTAAAGGGCCAATTTAGATCTTTTGGAACTTACATGGTGACTCCTTGATGTACCGTGTTGTCTGAACGAGGGTCAGACTTATTTACATGTACTGACACAAAAATAAATAAATTAAACATCAGGAACGCTCGAAACTCAATCAAGTTTACCGAAAATTGAAATTAACCAAAAACGAAAAGGAAAAAGACCTATCTTAACTATTTGTCTAAAAATTAATATGGAGCAATACGATTAATGGTACGATTTCTGGAGAGTTATAAAGTTTTTCCCAAGCAAATCCAGGGAAGTGAGAGAAAACGTCCATAATTCAGCAGGAAATGAGCTCCTGAAAATCTAGAAAAAATCAGGGAATGAGTACGGTTGAGGGTTCTAGACACCCTGCGCAAAAAGAACATAGCTCTAAATGCTCCGCACTGAAAGGAAATTCTAATATCTGCATGGTGAATCTGGCTTTGAGTTTAATGCTTTCCTAACATGTTGCCCCTGCTCTTCTCGTTTTAGGGCCAAGTTGTTGAAGTACAACGGCAGCAATCGCAAGGTCAGCCCGAGTCGAACTCTAATGAAGAAAACTAACCCTGAGAAGATGAGAAATATTTTAGAAGCAAAGTTCAAGGAGACCAAAGTCTGCGATGATGTCAATGCTGCAGATAAACCTTCCCTAGATAATCCTGAAACTCATGTGTGAAAAGGAACCTTTTCAGTCTAAGCCAGCCACTATTTTTGTCATTTTTTTAATCATGTCATTCTTAGAACACACTGCAAGAATATTCCTCTACTTTGCCCAAATTGTGCTTGATGTTCAAGAAACTAAGAACTACTCTTTTCCAGTGGATATTTTTGTTCAGAAATGAGGAGAACTCAGTGCTTATAACACTTAAATTGAATCTCTTGATTGCACTTAATCCAGGCATACGCCTCTTTTACGGTCTTTTGCCAATAATTAAGACATGATGTGAACTAGTACACAAAAAGTTAAGTAATGAACATCATTTCATAGGATATTCATAGGAAGATTATCTGTGGAAACTTATGATACTTGTTGGTACTACCACAGTCAATTTTTTAAACGATTGTAAAACTTTTTGAAAAGATCTCATGTGCCCAATAATTTTTGGAAATTGGACACATTTTGATCTCTTTGAGAACATATTCAGCTGTGACTAAAAGTTTTAATTTTCCATGTGTATAACTCCCCCCCCCCTTGTTCACCATTCTAACTCCAATGTTGTCATAACTTTCAATGAGATGGAGTAAAATATTTGAAACTCCCGTCCTATCAAAGTTTTCGGATAATATCTGCAGGCAGCTCTGAGATTTTTTTCTCCTTTTTTCCCTTCTGATGAATGAATTGAGTCTTGGCTTCCTCGAATGTGTTACATCTATAAGAGAAGTCTGCACTGAACTGAAAACACTGGTTATCAATATCGATTTCAATTTTAATGCAGCCTTTTAAGTTTGTAACTTTGCTAAGCAATCCTCTGCCTTTATTTGCTTTATTTCTATGTTTGTATCAGGCTCAGATTCCTGATCAGGAAAACATTTTGACAGTGGGACTTGCAACATCTTCTAACAGGGTCTCAAAGTGAATCGGTGAGAATGAAGACGCACCAATTCGGAAACATGAAAATGTCTAAGAGACATAAAAACTGCGCAAAAGGTGAAAAAATTAACCTAAGAAATAGTGTTTTGGTGCCAAAAGACATGTACCTAAGGACAGTTCGAAGGCCCAAGTTGAAGTAAATATGTATGGCATCCTTAATGACTTCTATGAAAATTGGGCTTTTTGAAGTCACCGAGTCTGTGTGTTTACATTCTCACTGATTCGATTGTGGTCTGTGCAGAACCACTTCCAGGTCTCAAATGGTTCATGTGAGATCATCAAATTCTATTCCTTAAATTACGAAGAAATGACAACAAACTGACGAAAATTTTCTGTTGTAAGAAGAACTTTCTCAACATTTTTTTCTGTATTCTGTTGTCATGGAATGTTGGATATCGCATTTTTAGCTTTCTGACTGTTGAGCTACGAAATAATACATGTAAAAAACATGACATTTTTTTTTTGTGGTCTGCAAGCTTTTCCCTCAGCGGAAAAGTGGTCTGCCACAATGTTTAAGAATCACTATTTTAAAAGATAGGCACTGATATTATCAACTTCATGAAATGAGAAGATAAATGAAAAGAAAAGTTGGCAGGAAGCACCGTTGTATGTTGAGCTGTAGTGGGAAAAAGATCAGACAAAATACTGAAATCCATTTTAATGTGTATGACATTCCGATTAAATCTTCATTTTTGTTTTTATGTGATGGATTGAATTTAGCAGAATGGATTCAAGGCAATAACTAAGTCGTTAGAATCTAGCAAAGTTTTTTTTTGCTATTCAAATAATTGAATGCTTGTTCTTTTGATTTATTTCAGAGAAGTTTTTTTTTTTTTTTTTTTTTTTTTTTTTTTTTTTTTTTTTTAATAAATGAGCAGTATTTTGGCAGAAAAACCTTGAGAATTTGAGCAATTACATGGATATTTTTTGACCTTAAGACCAAGTTGCAGGATTTTATAACACCGTGACTGTATTGTTTCCCTTCTGCTAAACTTTATTCAACTATGTTTGACTTTTATAAAATGGAAGTTTTTTTTATTTTATAATTTGCAATAATCCACGCATAAAACATGTAACTTGCTGTTTTTGTTATCCATGTAAGTGGACTATCATTTTTGATGTATCATCAAATTATTTTGCTACTGTCGTTTTTGTTCTAGTCTAACTAATCATTGTACTATATTTGTTGCTAATTCATAAGTTTCGTAAATACAATTTTTCATTCATGAATCTCGTTTTTATGTTCAAATGTTTGATGAAAGGTTCTCCTGTATGCTTAGTAGCCTCTGCCTTTTCAACATCCTATGCGGACTGTGTTAATGCTGAGCAAGAATGATTAACTTACTTGGTGAAGAAAAGATCTACATATTGAAAGTGGTTTGCAAAATTTCATTCAAATGAATAATTTTTTTACTTTTTGTGGAGTAAGGTTCCATATTGATAACCGAAATGCAGCACTACGTATCTCTATTGCAATGTTTCCAAATTTCCTCCCCTAGTTTTTTTTGCAAGAGGAATAGGCCAAATTTTGGCTTATAAATACAGAATTTTCTGCTTACAGCGAAGCAAAATAAAAGAAGTTTTCAAGGATACGTTTTGACTAGTTTTTCAAAGATAAAATATAATATGACAGGACAGCAGCAAGGTAGCAATCAGAGATGCATGGTTTTACTTTTCGGTCATCCCATGGATGGTCAGATAAACTGAATAACAGTGACTCCAACCCACAAAGTAGCGGAATGCCTTATTGAAAGCATTGTTCATTCACTAGTTGACACCGAAACAGCAACTTTGCAACGTTAAGGACCTTGAAGACCTTTGCTCATACTCAAAAAAGTATACGATTATTCATTTTAAAAAAACTCATATGTTCACTGCTATGTTGAGGAAAAACCCCATATGAGCCTTCTGATATCGCCAAATTTCCCTCAATTAAATATGAATTTTCAAGGAAATTCGTGACAATTTTTGTTCAAATTTTTCAGAGAAATGTATTTGTAATCAGATCTAAATTACAGGAAAATGTCATGAGAAAATATTCACACCACTCCTCAAGAATAAACTTTTTATCAGAGAGAATTTGGCAACTCTCAAATGCTTGTACGGCATTTTTCCTCAGCACAACAGTATTCTGAAGGGAATTTTGTACGTTGCAAATGTCAAGAAAAGAGAGATAGAAATATTTACATTTATTTACACATCACAGTCTATAATAAATTGACAATTTAAGACTAATCACATTCCCATTCTGACTTTCACTTGAGGGATGGAGACAGATTCTTCTCAAAAACTGAGGAGGGCACAAATTTTTTCTCTTTCAAAGATTCAACATGAACCAAATCTTCTGGGTCCTTTGCTAAGCGTTCGAGTCGTTTCTCTTGGATGCTTGCTTGAAAAGGCGTATACTTGTCCGATATCAATGATTCAATATTGTAGCCGATCACACCAATAACTGCTGCAGCTGGGACCGTTATCATGGGGACATATCGAGTGACGAACCTTACAAGCAGCGGTATCATCTGTTAACAGAAGTAAGTTACTGATTAGAGCAAAAAATATTAAGAAAAAATAAATGTGCCAAATTGAGCCGTCCTTCATAGAAACACCGTACCAGCTTTGCTGCGCGTTTCAGATTGTGCAACCTTGTGTAAGCAAATCTTCATGATTAAAAAGAATAGAGCCACATATTGCTGGCCTAGTGTTCAAGAATTTTCGCCCCTGTTCTGTTCTTTCGAAGAGGAACAAGCCGACTTTACAGTTTAAAATTTCCTCAGAATCTTCCGACAGAGAAGAATGTTGCGCTGGGTTCCTGAAAACGGGTCAACCCAGTATGCTGATCAAAATTGTATTAAATTTTTTCATTATTTTTGGATACGTGCCAAAGCCGCATTGTTCCACAAGATTTGAAAAATTGCAAACCCTCTAGGAAAACAGGAGGGAAAAAGCAGCCTCCAGAATTGGATTGCGACAGCACGGTCGAGAACAATTTGCACCCCTAAATGGGCCACTACCAACTGTAGTCTGTGCTTATGAGCACCTGGGTAGAACGTACAATCAGAACTGTAAGTGTGAAAGCAGCCCTAAATTATCGGTATCAAGACTCAGATTTGTACAACTGATAATCAGCATGACCTTACAGCTGATCGTTGAGTGCATTCGGCAGATCAATTCCTAGGATGGAATAGGTCAAGTATTTCTCTTTTTTTCTTTTTTAATTTCAAGGGTTATGGGTTAACCCCATTCAATCCCTAGCAGCTTACCATCCCTATTTGTACTCTGATGACTCATTCATTAAAGTCCAAATTCCTTCCACCTATAACATTTGGGGAGCAGTTCTCTGTCTCCCCAATTATTCTCTGTGCAGGATGTAACTCCCTGCTCAGCATGCTTTAAGAAATTGATCCAGATAAATCTCAAACACATGTAACTCATACATGACTGAGTCATTTTGAAGGTAGCGCAACATTACTCAATAATGACATCGCCATCAACACAGGAGCCATGATATTTGACAACTTCCAGTGATGAAAAAAAAGTCAAAAGCAGATGCATTATGAGAAGAGAGAAAGCATCCGATCAAACACATACTTTTATTGATTAAGCTGCTGCAAACGATTCTTTACCTTGAAGTGTAGTTGGACAGAGCAATGTCGCTGGTCGCAAAGATGTATTGAGTCAGTGTTGCATAAGAAGTTTTTTCCACATAATCTTCCTTATCTCTAGAAACTTGTAGATTTTAGGGGGAAGTGTTGATGTAAAAATAAAAGCAACTTGATTTAAAATTAAAGAGATGAAGAAAACACAAATCTTTTACAATCAACACAATCTTACGATGATGGAATCAGTATCAGCTATCAGCTTAGCTTATCAGCTGACTTTGTTTATTATTAGAACCGGTAGTTTGAGGTTATGTTCGGTGTTTACGTTGATTTTCCGCGTGGAACCCGTGAGTAGATAACAGATAATGATAAGACTGCGTGTTCCATAAGTGAATTACAGAGTGTTTTAGTGTTGAAAAATCGTCCGTTATCAAACTAACTGACTCTCAAGCAAAGCATCTGACACAGTGAGGATGAAGCCCAAGAAGAAACCAGCAAGCCAAAATCAATGGCTCAGCAAACTTCCAAATTTTTCACGTAATTACAAAAAATTATTCAGCTACAAATTCTATCTGTCACTCTTGTTTGATACCAAATATCTCATTTTGATGGCACTTGCGCTACTTATTGCCGAGGTGTTCGTCAATATCTTCATCATAAAATGGATCAAGTACACAGAAATAGACTGGATCGCCTACATGCAGGAGGTCGAGGGCGTCATCAACGGTACCATGGACTACTCCCAACTGCGAGGCGACACGGGACCTTTGGTTTATCCTGCTGGATTCGTCTACATCTTCACGCTATTTTATCATTTAACAGACCACGGTAAAGATATCAATTTTGCACAGCATATCTTTGCTGGCTTGTACATTTTGACCCTCATCCTAGTGTTCCAATTGTACGTCAAGAGTAAGAAAGTTCCTCCGTATGTGTTGATCATAACCTGCTGCACATCATACCGCATACACTCGATTTACGTTCTCCGAATGTTCAATGATCCTGTAGCCATGATTTTGCTTTATTTATCCCTCAATCTATTTTTAAATAACCGGTGGAGTTTGGGTAGCTCAATCTATAGTATGGCTGTCAGCATTAAAATGAACATTCTCCTTTTTTCACCCGTCTTGCTTTTAGCATACTGGACTTGTCTTGGTTTTATTGGAACATTAAAGCAATTAGCTATCTGTGCGGGGATACAATTATTCTTAGGAGCCCCTTTCCTTCTAACAAACCCTATGGCATACCTAAAAGGCTCTTTTGATTTGGGGAGAGTATTTTTGTACGAATGGACTGTCAATTGGAGATTCTTGCCTGAGGAGATATTTGTGAGCAAATACTTTCACATTTCTCTACTTGCAGTCCACTTAATATTGTTGGCTATCTTTTACTCATCCTGGAAGGTATACTTGACTAGCTACGCGCGTCTTAAATACATGGAAACTCGTATTCAACCTGAATTGAAGAAGCATAAGAAAAGTTTAGATATGAGCACAGCCTCAAATCTCTTTCTCACACCCATGTTTACAGCCAATTTCATAGGCGTAGCCTGCAGCCGTTCATTGCACTACCAATTTTACGTTTGGTACTATCATTCCCTGCCGTATTTATTGTGGTCTACAAAATTTCCTGATAAATACCGTATAATGCTTTTGGGTGTGATCGAGCTTTGCTGGAATACTTTTCCATCTACAATGCTCAGCAGCGCTGCCCTACATGTTTGCCACATTGCAATCCTTTATGGACTGTATCAAAATCGGCATGTGAAGCAAAATGCTGCCTAAAAGAGAGAATGATTACTTAGGCTGCATCTAGCAAGAGGAAACCAAGTTTTTGGGAGATGCCTAGGAGACCTGTTCATAATTGACTGATCGAAATCTTCGTAAGAGTCAATTTTAATCCATAAGCATTTGGTTCCTTTCTATGAATTGATTCTACTTCTTAGCAACCACAAGGGATCTGATAATAGTTTAAGTTTTCCTCTGAATTTCATTTTTTTGCATCAGGAACATAATTTTGTGGCTCAATAAAATTTGAGTGTCAGACATACACATTTTCTTCCTTAGAATATATGCGAAATTCTGACAGCCAATTTCAAAACAATCAATTCAATGAGCAAATCCCTCCTCTCCCATTGAAGTTCCCTCTTGTTAAACACCAGCAAATTCTGCGTAAAACACATTCTGAAGGTCATAAAGCACTAAACGTTTTTGACATGCCCTCTTCATATCATATTGATGGTTTTCCCCTTTATTTCTTCCTTTTTTATGTCTTCTTATGTAATTAAGACTAAAATTCAAGGGCTAATAAAAAATACCACCTTACTGATTAAGGAGAATTTGTATGCAAAATTTTTATTGCTTCATCCGAGAGTGCTGAAAGGGCTAATTTCACAGTATTTTTTAAAAGTAGATTTAAAAGTGAGAAAATGCCCCGCCTAGTGACGTCATCTGGCAGCATTCCCCATTTAAACACATGTATTTTAGCAGATTAGATCATTTCGTCATATCTTCTCCAATAATTGTTCAAGTCATGAACCAAGGGTATCCTTGTGTTCAGTTCACTCGGTAGTTTCGACTTAAACACGAAATTCATCAAATTTCAGACACCTGCAAATTCTCTATTTTGGCAAAAATGAGTTGGCGACTTTGCCGCATCCTGCAGTATAAAATAAGCAAGCCGATGATTTCAGCTCTTTTCTAACTCTGTAGGGGAGCTCTTCAACGATGCTGTAATGCTCTCTTTCCGGAGAAAACTGAGAAGGTACGACAGTGAAATGAAGAACGAATATTTTACAGTTGTTAAATTATTAAAAAGTTACCCACAGCTTTCATCCTGCTGTAGTTTTCAAATATTATGTGAATTTGTCCATTTTTTTTTTAAATCATAGACATATGAAAATGTAAAATGATAGAAAAAATTATTTGCGGCATGATGAGTTTGTTGAACTTTTTCTTCAGGTTCGACCTAAAACCGCTACCGAAGCTCTCAGAAATTTGAGAAAAAAAAAAAAAAAACGCCTGAAGTTTTTCTCCCTAATCCCCAAAAATTCTCAGGTTGGAAAATTAAAAAAATTTTGCTGCTGAGGCACTCATTTTTCTTCGAAAAATACTTTGTTCCAAATTTCCTTGAGAGAAGGTGGGGTGGTAGTCATTTTGCCTCTAGGTCGTTTCTTTTTTCACTTAGAAGCAAATTCCTCTCGCTTGAAATTCTTTTTTATTATGAAATACAAATTCACTGAAATGTCAAATGCAACATGTTTGACACTGGATATGAAACTGGAAACTGACTGACATGAACAAAACATGAATTTTACATTTTTTATTTTTCAGTTTCAGTAGCAACCCTGCCATACTAAGTCAGTCAGCAGTGATTACAGGATTTTCGACTTACAGAGAAACAGAGTGCGAAAAATTGAGGAATATAGTATGTATAATAAAAGGAGCCCAAAAGAGAGGTCACAAGTTTATTTCTAATCATTGGCGTGAATGTTTCCATCATGACTTTTACGTAAAGTGTATTTTATTCTTTGAAACAAGCCAAATTATATTTTGCTATTAGTGAAATTCCAGCAAAATATGGATTTACTGCTCTTTGACTTAACGTGGCAGAATTGTGGAAGCACAATCATAGTCGAATAGTTAGAAATTATTTTTCTTAGATCTCGTAGAATATCTTCCTTGATTGAGATTATAATTTAAAAAATTGTTTGTAAAAATACAAGTTTCTAGTCATTAGTTTATTCGAATTCAGATTGAGTCATCTAACGTTTCTCGGTTTTCAATTAATGTGGTACTTCACTATCAATGCTTGTGCTTTACCTGTCAACTGATAATGCAAAATGAGGCAGAGTTTTTTCTCTTGTTTTTTTGTCATTCTGATACATTAATAAAAAAGGACAAGTTACACGAAGAAACTATAGTCATTTTGGCGTTATTTTGGCAAGGTGCTAAATTAAATAGGAAAAAGAAGAAAAAAATCGAAACCAAAGCTAAAACTGTGTTTGCAGGTCGCATTACGTTCCAGAATGTTGATGGCGGCCCAAAAGGAAGCATTTAACTCTGAGTGTATCATGAATAATTGGAGAGGACCTCTCAGTATGACTAAAAATTATTATTACTTAAGCTTTTTGAAAAGCTTCCTTTAGTTTCATATTTGGAACTTTTGGTTTCGACCCACTATGAAAACCGAAGAGTCAAACAAAACTATCAAAAAATCCAGCAAATTTTCAATTAAGTATTCCTAAGAACTTGCTATCATTTTTTCATAAGGTTGATGGAATACAGATTTCCCTCTCAGAGAAAATCTATGTGCGATTCATGTTGAGATTGTTTTCAATTCTTCATTTAGCGTGTCTAAGAGTTTACATCCCTATTAACCCTCTCTTTTGCCTATGCTTGGTTTTACTGATATGAGCTTATCCAAAAATCATTGCTCATACTTGAATTTTTGTGCACACTTTGAAAAATAATTTTTTGTTCATTTTCATTTTGAATTTTATTTATTGACGAAGCTTTATTGTTTTTAAACGGAATGTTATAATTAGAATAATTTGTAGATTTAATAAAACATGAAGATGAAAGTATGATTTAAAAAATAATTTTTCTTATTTTAAGGGATTATTTTTTTTTTTTTTTTTTTTTTTTTTTTTTTTTCTAGTGATTAGTTGATTAATTGTATTTTATTTCTTTTTTTAAAAGACTTTTTGTGCCATCATTTTGATGGATCTATTTTTAGACCTGGTACCCTTGATGAAATTTTAAATGTCACAAAGTTCTGCTGCGTTAAGGAAAGGTAAGAAGGTATATCGATTATAGTGTTTTAGCTTCATTATGGTGAAGGATTTTTTTTTTTTCGATTTCCACAGAGAATTTGAGTAAATTTCTCGCTAAAAATTGTGGAAGTTTTCCTAGGCAAAAGCATAATATTAATAAGCAAAAACCACACCATAGAAGTATGAACAAAAATTTAAGACTATGATTGGTCTGTTGCTCACTTCCTTAACACAGCAGTGTTGCTTTTGTATTTTAGATATCATACTTATTGTTAGTCTTAATTCAATCCTATACATATGTGATAGGAAAAGGGACCTCAGTCCAAAAAACATTCAAAATTGAGTTATTGATACTAGAGCAAAGAGGAGGGTTCCACAAAAATGTTGTGAAAAAATAGCCCAAAAATATCAAACTCAATCAGATTAGTGGCCTTTAGAGGCTACCAATTCGAACGGTAATTTACAGGACGGCTCTTTAAACTTCAAATCTGCCATGCCCAAGGCACAAAAGTGCCGCATTATTATACACTCTCTTTTGCAGAGGCAGATTAAATTTGACTCGGAGCAGTTTATTCTCTGGAAAAATGAACGGAATTTTTCCTATCAAACACTAAGAATTAGATTTTTCGATCTAAGCTGATACATGTCGCTCCATTGGAAATTTTACCGCAGCAGACTGAAGTTCCTTATCCCATGGACGGTTAAACGTATTCATGTGTAAAACATGAAACTTAAGTATCTACTGATATAGGTTCTAGTTAGCTTGATGTTCATAAGGTTTTAATTTTGTTGTTGTTTTATTTTTAGCCATTCAATATTTTAGAAACTTAGCTAATAAACAAGTGATTGTTTGAGTATAACCTTCAATTTTATTATTTTTTCCAGCAACTAATTTGCTCGTCCTTGAGGTTTCCTTTACGGATAAAAGAGAGAAAAAATTGAATACTCTCTCTTCATGATGGGTTAAAAATGAAACAAAATATTTATACTAAACAATTGCGTAATTGGATTTTTTGCGAAATAGGTTAACTGCAATAGTAGAGAGATAGGAATAAAAAAACTAGGAAAGTATTTCAAGTAAATTCCGTTTCTTAAGGAAAATGTAGATTCAGATACTCAACAGCCTAAAATTATTTGTTCGATGCTGTTAAATTTCAAAATTTCTCAGAATTTTTGCGGTTGAAATAAGAACATGGTTTCACAGGTTTAAACGTTTTCACTACCTCAGTAGAGAGTTTGGGAGCCAAGCCTTTTCATAGTGGCTTATTTTTTTAAGTTCTGAGCTACACCAATCAATTTCACTTTTATTTATCTGTCAAGAATGACTTTCACTATAAAACAATATGGAACAGTCGTCAAACTGCATGAAACATCGAAATAAGATTTATAATTTATATTCGTTCGTAAATTAAATTCTGTGTTACTATAGAGAGATATTCACCCTAAATTATTCAAAACCTGAATGCAACATGAGATATCTTCTTAAGAATATAACCTAAAATCCATTGCGACAAAAAATTAATTAAATCAAACAATCAAATGAAATTATTCTGTTACAAGCTGTTGATTAAAGAATACCGAATGATACAAATTATGACAATGGAAATAAATAGTTTTGAAAGAGCAAATCACCAAAGAATTTTGGAGGTAGATGAAGATATTCATCTGAAAATTAATATCTAAAAAATCCGAGCAAATTTCCTGGCACATACCTGAGAGATTTAGCTCGCATGATAGCTTTGGAGGTATGTCAAAAATATTAACTTTCAAAGGAAGTAATTTCTGATATCTGTGCTTCTTCCAAGATCTCGCTATGATTAGAAGTTGTCTGTTCTTCCGCTACTATCCGTCGTTTTTTCACAAAATGCTCGATTCTATTCTCGAGACTTGCTGAGGAAAAGGAAAAAAACAGATAATTAAACAGAGTGTCTGCAGGATGTAATTCATCTTGAAAATAAAAGACATGTTGATAATGAAGCTGACAAACCTTGTATCTCAAAAACCCCGATTTTTGGGAAAGTAGAAAATCTGCCTACGTTCCTCATCATTGCTAGCCGTTTATGTGCTCTACAGTCACCTGGAAGCATGTTTAAGGGGCGCGGAGCACCCAGGGGGGCGGCACATAAGTGCAGTTTTTTAAAAAATTGATGTATAAATGAACTCAACTAATACTAGTTTGAAAGTATATTCTACAAAAAATTCACAACTTAAAACTAACTTTGAAGCATCAAAAAGTGAGTTTAAACTTCTTTTCCGCCATAGGGCCCCATGTAATTTTCATATTTTAAACATGTAATTCTCGGAATAGCAAAAATTAAATTTAAAAAATGGGATGATTTTGGTAAGTAGAAAATCCTTACCACAAGTGGGTCTTGAGAGCAATGGCGTGTACTGCTTAGGAGGTTTTCCCTCAATCAACCAACAACTTTGACTCCTCACCGATTCTCCCTCCGTCTTCAGGGAAAGACATTCTTTGATCATTTCTCCTATCATCGAAGATCTGAATAAAAGAAGAAAAGTGAAGAAATTTTATTAAATCATTTTTGGAAGTCAAGACTCATGACGTATTCAAATGAAGGCCTTGCACTGCAAATTGAATGAATATTTGAAGAGAAAAAAATTGATTAAATGACTTTATAAGCATAATCTAAGCAAAAGAATAAGAAACAAAATAATAAAGAAGATATAAAACGAAATGCACTCACTGATGAAACAAAACACAGGAATATGGGAAACTAAGGCATCCCGAGGACGTTTCAGGGGTGGTTTCAACCACCTCCTTGACGAGAAAACAAAAATGTAAAAATAAACTTTTTTTATACATACATTTTTGTTTCCTCGTCGAGGAGGGGGTTGAAATCATCCCAAAACTTCTCAGACATTCTGTTTGTTTTCAACCTTGGTTTCCCATTTTCTCGTGGTTTGTTTCGTTAAATTATTTAGGCTATTTTTGTGCATCATTCTTATATTCACTGATTCTGCCGCCAAAATTTTCATTTAATTAAATCAAAATTTGTTACAATCAGAAAGAATCAATATTATAATTTAATTTAAAAAAATGATTTCAGTTATGAGGGAGTGGTCTTAACTTCTCTCCATTATTTTGTGATATTGACAGTTAACCAGAATTTAGCGGATCGGCTTTAATTTTGTTCCGAACCCATAGATGGATCAAAGATAAGTTTCCTGACGCTCGAGTTTTGTTACTTAATGGAAGATTCTTTATCTCTTTAAATGAAAATAAAACTAAAATCCTTGTAAAACAAACATAGCTACAATTGAATGAAAGAGAATGAAAACATACCAACTCCAGAAAATGAAAATGTTCAGGAGACACAAAAAACTGTAGGTGAAAAAATGACCTAAAAAAGGAGCTTCCTTTTGTGAAACTTTACAGGTCTTGTCCTAAGGTACTTGTCCTTTTTGCCACAAAGCTGTACCTCACAGTAACTTCTTCACCTACTTAGAAGTTTTTGTGTCTCCTTAAAATTTTCATTTTTCGGGTGGATGTGTTTTAATTCTCACTAATTCAATCAAAATCAGACCAAAACTGGCTCAGTTTCGTCAGTTTGAGAGGGATGACTCACAATGGGGCTGTTGCAAACTTTTGCTAGAGCAAAAATAAGAGTTGTTTCCTATTGATAATGCCTCAAAAATCTCGATGAGCGCATTGGCAAATTTTGAAACGCACTCATAACTTCACAATCTGCGTAAGAAATTTGCGTTTCTTTGAGCTTCCCGCTTCAAAAACGATACTACAGCACAGGTGAACATTTTGTTCGAGGAGTCTCACCATCATCGACACTATTCATCAAGGCCAACGCTTCCGCAGTTCTGCAAGTAATTCGAGGAGAGTTCAAGGTCAATCAAGGTGGGCGAGGAAAATATGAATGTGAACACACGGACAGTTATCTGGTTTTATCCTGGTCGGGTGTTATCTCGTCCCATCACACGTGTTTTGGCGGATTGCCGTCGGCCATGATGAATATTGCCGACAATGGAATGACTCCTCTGATAAAATATTCACCTGTGCCATGGTATCGTTTTTGAAGCGGGAAGCGCAAAAAACCGGAAATTTCTTACGCAGACTGTGCAGTTATGAATTTATTTCAGACTTTGCCAATGCGCTCATCGTGATTTTTGAGGCATTATCTATAAGAAACAACTTTCATTTTTGCTCTAGCAAAAGTTTGCAACAGGCCCATTGGTATGTGGCTTTGTTCCTTGATTTATCTGACCCAGCTTGATAAATAATTCCTTCAAAGGCACATTTCCTTTTCTTGTCAGTCTAATAACCATCCGGATTCTTCTCCAAAAAACCGGAGCTGCTGTCTATTTTCAGCGTGTAAAAACACAGCACTTATACTTACTTGATACTATAATCACTCCACTTTTCTTGTAGATTCGTTATCACCTCGGCTAGAGAACTTTGATCAACCTGCCAGTTTGAAACGTTGTATTCAGTGAAGAATAAATTCAGTGGAAAATCTCTACCGAGAGAATATTGTGGCTTCCTAAAGGGAAGGAAAGGATTAAGTTAGAGATTCCTTTGATACAAATTTACCAAAATACCTAAAATAATGTGAAAGACTCTACAAAAAATGATGTCAATAAATGTAAAAACATAGTGTCTATAATTCTTGACCATGTTCATGCTCGAATTTTCCCTGATTTTCAATATTTCATTCTCAGATGGGAATCCGAAGTTTTCCCCTGCTTCCACAAGTATTTTTATGGGGAAAACTGGAAAATTCTATGGTGTTTTAGATATGGATATCGAATTATTTATATCTTTCAGCCGATTCTTTGGCGCGGGTCCAAATTTTTCATTCCAAAAGCATTCCTGATCTGGTCAATGAAAGCTGCTTTATTTGTATGTTGATTTGAAGTTTCAAATATGTAATTTAAGAAGGCAATAATGGTGGCTGAGGTGCAATGAACATAAAGTGTAATGGATGGATACTTGAAATTTCTTTAAAATTTGAAAACGAAATGGTCTCTAGGCATTGAAACAAGAGATTCCCGGTTTCTGCGACTTTTTCTCTGATTTTCCCTGAAATTTTCAAAAAATACCCGAAAACCAAAAAGCTAATGAAGCCCAGTTTTCCTGGTCCTAGGAAACACGAATAAAGGTCGAAACAGCTTAGCATTGTTGTTGTATTGGTAAACTTTTTGGAAACTGAGTGAGTAAGGAAAAAATGGCACTCATTTTTACTATTTTCTTTTGCTTGACCGGTTGGTAAACTGCTAAACTCATTAAACTCACCTTGGTTGGGTCTTAACATCTAAGAGTTGTGTCACAACCTCAGGATTTTCTTTGCCTTCTCCGACCAAGAATAAAATGCCCATAATGCACCTAATTTGATGCCAAAGAAAAGCTTTTGCTTTGATTTCGATTTCGCAGATGTCATAGTCTAAATAAGAAAAATAAATAAATAAACCAATGGTTAGAGAAAATCTTTAAGTTCATTCATAGTCAATATAAGTCAACTTTATGTATAGGGAGCCAGTAGGAAGAGCAGCGTGCGCCATGCTAGTTGGTTGCCCTTGAACTACAGTAAAAGCTCGTTAAGATGAAATACGGTTAAGACAAAAATCCGCTTAAGACGAAATTTTTTTCGGTCCCTTGACACTTCCATAAGAGTCAATGTAAAAAAAATACGGATAAGACGAAATTTCGAAATTTTGACCCGTAACTAAAGCCTGTTAAGACGAAGAAAAATTTTTAATTTTATCCCCTGAAATTAGGTAAAAACGACAAAAAAGAGCCAATTCTCAGGGAAAATAGACTTAGTTTTACGTACCTTGACATAAAAAGAGTAGGTTGAGAATAGATCGTGGGTATCCTCTGTTTTTCTGGATGACTGAGATGCAATCAACAGTTGACGATAAACCGATTTGCGTATTTTAAAAAAATTCAAAAATTGGATTTCGTATCGTATAAAATTTAAAAATTTAAAACTAATTGATAATTTAAAATCAGATTTTGAAAGCTGTCGGATATTAAAACTGCTTCCAAATTTTGGAGGCTGTTGAAAACTGTATCGTCCACGACATTTTGACTGAAGAATGTCCTAAGTTTCAAGCACAGTTGCCGCTTACGCCGAAAAATTTCGTCTTAAGCAGAGAAAGGTTAAGACGAAAAGCCACTTATGACAAAAAATTTTTCGGTCCCTTCATTTTTTGTCTTAACAAACTTTTATTGTATCTCAAAGACAAAAAAAATTGGACTGAAAATCTGGAGGACTCTTGGAGCTCTCTTCTTGGAAGACCTTCGAATCACAAATTAAAGTTAAATAAGAAAATGCTTCTACTTAATGTAATAAAAACAATCAATGATGTACATGCAGTTTTAACGAAGACGCATTTACAGAACAATAAGACAAATGAACTTGATTCTTGAAGAATAAATTCTGTGGAGAGATACCTTCGTTTTGGAATTGTGTATCCTTTTTACATATTGAAATTTTCATACTATTGATTGCTCTGACAAATTCTACGACAGCATTACTGACATCCATTTTACAGAAATTTCGAAAATCATGGCAACCGGTGAGGAGATTAGCCGCCTCTTGCATTATCTAAAAACAAACAACAAATAAATATGTGTAAGTAAATTGATGAATGAATAAATTAATAAGATTAAAAACTCTAAAGGAAATTATATGCTCTGGAAAAATTTAGGCGGCTATATTCAGTCTGGCTAATGCTTATGGTGCGAGGTCTCTGCAAAAAAGCAAGAATATTCAGCCTCTTTTATTTGTTCAATATTTTTTGCCTTTGGAAAGACCTGTTTAGGAAAATGACAAGAATTTATAATTTCTCTTTTCCCTCTAAGAAAAATTATCGTCTCGAAAAATGAATTTTTTCTTATTAAGGAAGAAAATTTTTTAATGAAAGTAACATTATGTCAGAGGTTTAAATAATGTTGCTTTTTTGCCTTGACAGCACACCGTAACTTGCTTTTCCATAATATATTTTGACACACCTGCAGGTGGATGTTGCAGTCCAAAAGAAAATATCGAATCCACAAAAGTAAATTTTGCTTGGCATTTTAACAACTCTCGAATGGCATGTGTCAGGTTTAGCTCCTAAGATATTCCGTCTCCAGAACTGAAAAGGTGGTTTTTCCCCTTATTTTCCATCAAGCAGAATTTCTCATGTATGCAAGTTTAAAAATTTAAGCAAGTAACAAGACTTAATTGAAAATTTTACCTCAATATCTAAATTTCCGCGAGGAAACCAATACTTGTACGTCCTGGAGTTGCAGTCAAATCTTGCACTAAAATTTTCTGGGACAGGACACCATGATATAAATCGAATATTGTCAGGCAATAAACGATTCAACATTTTACAATATGGTAATTCAGTGCTTTCATCTCCATCCTCCGCTTTCTCACTCCTGATTGTTAATGAGATCACCTGAGGACAATAAGATCTTTGAGACATAGGAAAATAATACGCCTCAGTTATGAATTTTTTTACAAAGAGGAGAATGCATTGAGAATATACTGGTTTAAATTGAGTGTCCAGGATAATTCCATGCATTATTTTTAAAGGTGTCACAATACTTTCAATTTTCAATGGTCTAAAATTGCAGATGAAGTATTTTTGAAAAAAGTTCATGTTCATTAACTTTAATGGATATTTGACTTGAGAGTGCATCAGAAAATAATAATGACTGGATTCTTGGCTACCAATTATTTTTTTTTTATCTTCAACTCGACTTTTGGCGCTCTCTTATAGAGTTTTCTTCCTTTAGGATTAATTGTAAGCAGCTCTTCCCAAGTTTTCGTTGAATATCTCTCACCCCTCAGAGTGCCGACACATCGAAGTAGGTGCCTCAGTTTGCAATATTGCAGACTTACCATCATACTATATTCATCGATTAGAAAACTAATCAATATAATACTTCAAAAACTTTTTTAAATTTTCATCTCTGTTTAAGGAATATTCAGTAAAACTTTCAAGCCTTAAAAGTGTATTTATTCCATTAGAAAAACGAAATAAGAGTGAAAAGTTTTAAACACCGCAGTCAAAATGGTTTTTGACTTTAACCATTAATGGATTTCATACACATGACATGCCTAGTGTCAAGACCTGCCATCTCTAGGGCAATGTCTAAAAGTTTGGCAGATGTTTTAAATTTTTTAAAAGGAGTAATCAATAAGACTCCTCGCATTATAAAATACTGTCATAATTTTTACACAAACACATACAAAGTTCTTGAGAAAATATGCAAAAAGAAACTCACCTGCTCTTTTGATAATAAATAAAAATGATTGCCAAATTTTAGATCCCGCAATGGAGATTGCAAGTTTTGATACTAGGCATTTATTCAAACATTATTCCGAAGCTGTAAGCCCCTTGAAGACCTTCAGTCACTGGAATGTTTCTTTAAACTAAATGCTCTAATATAAAAGAAGAAGAGAAAACAGTGGAGACCTGACTGAATGAGCTGACACCTTTATCGGTGCGACCACAGCGATGATAGTTACAAGTCTGCCGGCTCTCGATTAGACAACAAGTTTTTAGAGCCTCAAAAACATGGTGCTCGATAGTTTCATTACTGTTTTCTTGTTCTGCAAAACCAAGGTAATCCCATCCAAGGTACAAGAATTTCAATAGTATGTGTCTTTTCTTACATCTGGAAAAACAAAACAAGGCAAAAATTAAGGCTCTTAGTGAGGGCAAAAATTCGATAAAAAATTCAGTTTGAAGAAAAATATCTTAAAACTCATGTCTTTTGCTGTTTGAAAAATCAGGTTACAGAGAAAAAAGGAGGCATTTATGTGATTCGATGGCCAAGGTGCGAAACAATGTATCGCCGTTTGGAATATTGCAGACTTCCTTTCACGCTTTATTTTTTTTACGGAAAACTGGTCAACGAATTTTCTTGAAAACTTCCTTGATTTATTTTCTTTGTCCGCAGAAAATTCTGATATGAATTTCAAACCGTCAAAGTGAAGTTGGCTTGTTTCTCATCAAAGGAATAAAATAGGAGGTAACATTTTTAAACACTGCAATGGAGATTCTGCAATTTGCCCATCCGTAACAAGTGTTGTCAAAATTGTGAAGGCTTTTAATCTTGTTGCATCCAATAACTGATGTCTGACGCATGAGTAATTGTTCCAGCAAATAGGTTGGAGTAGAGGAAAAATTTGGAAAAAAGAATTTCCTCGTTACACTTCTCTGAAAAGTCTGAGCCTGCAAAATTTTCATCATAAATACTTACCTCCTCTCGCACTAAAATAGGTTGAAAATAAATCAAGGTAAGAGTGTCACCGCGAGGTAACTGTGGTCATCCGCAAGGGAAGGGACCTAATCTAGATAGGCAACATTTTCTGGAGAGCCATTTTTATTGAGTTTGATTGAGAAATCAGACTCTAAGATTTTAACAGAAAGTTTTTTCAAGTGTTTTAAAGAACAAAGTGCGAGCTGTTCGGTTCATTTATTTCAGTAAGTACAGGTTGTAAAGTTGCACAAACCAGAAATTTCCTGCAACGATCTCAAAAAATTAGATTTTAAAATAGCTTTTTAAAATAGGTCTTTTTTTTCCAGCTGAAAACTTCAAACCATCATTACTTCTGTTCCATTTGACACGTCCAAAAATCCCTCGTAACACTATTATAAGCTAAGAGATTAACAACTCAATTTCGAATTTCCATGAACTTACAGCTAAGATCCTTATACTTGAAGACCCTTACAATTTAAAGATAGTATTTATTGTTTGATAGCTTACTTTGAAAAGTCAAAATTTCTTTTCTCTTTCTTGTTGATGAAAATCTTCTTCTTAGCTTTTCCATCATTCTGCTTGGCGATAATATTCTTAAGCTGGAAAACATGTGCCTCAAGCTGCCTTATCTTAGTGAATAGTTCCTGAAAAATCGAAATATCTTCCATTATGAAATAGACTACAAACATCTTGGCAGACATAGAAAATATATTTGAAATCAATCATTTAGCAAGGACAATTATTTGAGAAAAATTGATTATAAATTGTACAGCATGCACAATTTACATCATGCATTTTGACACCAGCTTCCTATATGGGAGATCTGCCTCCCCAATCTTGCAACATACCCTTTTAATCATATTATATAAGCAATATACCTCGTCATACGCGCGTAGAAAATAAAATATTGATTAAGTTACAAGGTTGAGCTTTCACCAAAAAATAAAAGAAGAAAGTAACCACTTTGATTCACTGCTCTGTAAAATAATATGTTAACTATGACTACTTTTCACTGAAAAAGGTTTCAAAATAATTACAGAATGCAATGTAATTAGTTGTCAGTGAAAAATATAGAGAAACATAAAATACTCGACAAGGTGGTTACGAAAGCGATCACAACATAATTTTAATTCAATGATAACTTGTCAGCACTCAAGCTTAAGTTATTATTAATGTGGTCAATGCATTGATCAGAAAATTCCCTTAAAAATGACCTTATATTAACACAAATGAGCGGGCGAGTGCGATCAAAAGACGACTAAAGAATACTGGGAAATGTGATCACCAGGACCGTAAAAACTTACCTCCTTTGAATAATTTTGTAGGTCTTCTTCATCTGTAAGCTTCATCCTCTTACTAAGTTTAAAGTTTAACTTCCTCTCCCCCTCATTCATGATGGAATTTTATTCAAATCGGAGGGTTGAGCCAAAAAGTCAATTGAGAAAGGGGCTGCTTGTTTACATTGCAAAGGTTGGGCTAAGAGACCAAAAATGTGGATTTTCTGAGAACATGCAGGGATGAATTTCGACTTTCATGTCATGCTGATCCGTCATGCAGGAAAAGTAAGAGAAATTTAGCACAAATTTGACGAAAAAAATATTGAAAATGACACCAAAATCAACACAATCACGTTCACGTAAAAAGTCAATTTCTAGGATCTGGATCTGAAACGAACCTAACCTCAAAGTCGTCGCGCTGCAGACAGGGGAGGATAAACAGTTCAGCCGGTACCGGCTCCTGTCCTAATAATTATTCTAACCAATATAAAAATTAATGAGGGAACTAGAAGCCAAAACCTTAAGTTATTTATACGAGGAAAAGCTATATCAGGAGCACCAATTATCAATGGAATAAGTCAATTCCCAAAACCACCAATAACTAATGGTATCGTTATAAAAAAAATCATAATAAAAGCATGAGAAGTTACAACAACGTTATATAAATGTTCATTTGATATAAAAGATCCAACATTTATAAGTTCAGAGCGAATAATTATACTAAAAGAAGTTCCAATTAACCCTCTTCAAACACCAAAAATAAAATATAAAACACCGATATCTTTGTGGTTAGTCGAAAAAGCTCAAACTTTCATAATTATTAATAGTTAAAGAATATAACGCTAAACTGCAATTTTAGAATTGATTAACTTCTCCCCATATCTTAATAGATAAAGTGCCTGATAAAAGGGTTAAATTGTAAATTTCTCTGATGCTGGATGAGTTGCTCACGATCAGTCAAATTTTGCGTGCCCACCCACCTAGTCGCGCTGGCTGCTGGCTGACTCTTTTTGGGGCTTTTTTCACAAAAATTTGGAGACAAATTGTAAGTAAATTTTTTACGTACATTTTGAGTAAATTTTAAGTAAAATTAACGTATTTTTTTGTTAACTTCCTGCGAGCAAAAACGAGGGAAAAAAGTGGTGAACAGAAAAGAATAAATTATAGTTGCAGCCCATAAAAATTGAGAATATAAGTAGTTTATTGATTTTTACCTAAATTTTACGTTTTCTTTTAATTAAAATAACACTATTTTTTAACCTACAAGAATTCCCCAAAAGGGTTTCCTAAAACGAGTATTTTAAGAGTTGTTTTACTTAAAATTTACGAACTCTTAAAATTTACAAGTTTTTTCACATCTTTCTGGACAACTTTTTTTAGAACTTTTTTAAGAGCCATTGCTACTACAGGGTGAAAATCTCTGCCTCTATGTTATTTCTTAAAGGAGAACAAATTGACATCATTCCTTGAAGTTTATGCAGAATTTTCCTCGCACAGTGAAGAAAAATCACAGCAGTTTTAAAGAATTGCCGTTGAGTATAGTTTTCCGTTTGGTAAATAAAGTAGGTATGACAGGTTTCTGCGTCGCAAACCGAGTTATGTGATTGCCGACCCACACCGTCGATTTGCCTTTCATTTAATTTTGCATACAATTTCGAAAATCTTCTTTTCAGTTCTTTCACATTTTTCTGAAATTTCAAGTTATTATTTTTCATGAAAATTGCAACCCATGTTTCTCGTTGCCTACTAGTGGATCAAGGTAATGAAAGCGCCCGTTCAGCAAGCAACTCAACGAACACTCGTTATTGGTGTTACATTTTACGTCAAAGGAACCTAAAAAGAAATCCAAATCACTACTTTGTCGATTCTTTTCTCGAAAATGAAAATATTTTGAACTTCGAAGGGAACAGATTCTCTTGCATTCCGAGGTGATTCTCCAGACATTGGCTGTTTCGATAAAAATTAAAAGTACAGGCTTTGTTAGGAAATGTAGGGTGGGATAGTGGCTCTTAATTTGGTGGCCCTGAAAAGGGCCGTTTTAAAGGTTGTCGCATAGTGCTGATGGGGGTTGTAAGTCAATTACTTGGCCTTACTTCCAGCTTTCTTCGGAGTTGCCGCTGCAGATTTGCTCTTGGGGGCTTTCGGCTTAGTTGGCGGTTTAGTCGTTTTCTTCGCCTTAGGGGCCTTGGACGGCTTGATAGATTTCTTGGCCGCTGGTTTCTTCGGCTTCGGTGATTTCTTCGCTTGCTTTGTAGCAGCTGCGGCTTTGGCTTTCGGAGCAGCTTTTGGCTTCTTCTCCTTCTCTTTGACTGCCAGCTTGAAACGACCATTCAACCCAGTGCCAGATACAAGAGTCACAGTCTGGGCTTCGAGCGCGGCCTTGAGTGCTTTGCCGATGAGGTGCGAAGATCTGCCAGTAGCATCGACGTGGTGTGTTCCAGCTATGTACTTCTTTATGGCGGCAAGCGAGGAACCCTTGCGATCTTTCAAGGTGCTGAGGGCTTCGTGAACCATTGCAGCTGTAGTCGGATGAGGACGAGTAGGAGCTGAGACCTTCTTCGCCTTGACCTTGGCTGGCGACGATTTCTTGGCTGCAGGAGATGGTGTGGCTGGAGACATAATGGTGGAGTATCACAGGCGGGATTGAAGAACTGAACGACGGCACAAGGCAGGGTGACAACAGGCTGCGAAATCAAAATCGAGATATGCGGTTGCGGAGTGTGTAGAGTATATATAGGAGCGTAGTAAGAGCCAAAAGGAGCAAGACAAGCAGCCTCATTCAGCCTTGCGCTGCCAAAATGATTCTCGCGTTTCATTCAAATCTATTAATCCGAACTTTAATCATTTCCTCGACGAACTTTTCGTTAATTTTTAAAACTTTCAAAATTAAAGCGGTTCTACTGAGTATATCATACAAAAGATGCTTCATCACTAAAGTTTTCACGTAGATATAACGGTCTGCTTCTGAGTTGTGTATTGAGCGCTCCCATGGAATCGGCTAAAAAAAGTAATTTTAAGTATCTCAGCGGTTCCTATAGAACGTGATATGCTTTGAGACGGTTCTAAGCAGGTTCAGTGATCATCTAAAATCATGAGATCGATGTTTCATGAATTTTTAGCTACCAAAATAGGTGTTTCAAAACTGCCATCCCTGCGTTTTGTTTCGCCTTCATGACTTCTCCTCGCTTCAACTCTGGATGCTGGATGAAATTAAATTTAAAATACTTCATTTAAGAATATCTAGGCTAAGATTTAGCATAACAAATGAAGGAAAGAACCTGCCAAAAAAAAAAAATTTGTTTTAATTTTGGGGGAACTCAAGGATCTCGTTCAAATGTGGGCACAAATCACAATGAAACCGTCCTATGAAATCGTTGTCAGGAAAAATTCCGTTGTGTGGGCGCCAATTAGGTATTTTTTTTTTTGGGGGGGGGGGGTCCCAATCCGATTATTTCAGAAATCTCGCATGAGGGTGATAAGCAGGGTCGGACTGGCTCGCATCTAAGGGCGTAGACCCTTGGCTGGTTAAAGGGGCGTAATGTGATCTTTCCTGGTAGGGCATTCCCTACGTGGAGAGGGGTTCAGAAAATTTTGGCAAATCAGCACAAATCAGCACAAGTTTACGCTATTTTCAGGCTCAAAGTTTATTGATCGCACAAAGTAAAAATTGCAAAATTGAAAATAAAGCACAGCATTGAAAGCCGACGGTTCGCGTCATCGCGCCTTCTATTTTTCAGATGCAGCACGGACGTCCATCAAGTACGAATAGTTGTATCTCTGCGCCGTCGTAAACACGTATCCTTTCCCTCCCTCTTTTTCCATATTGTGTTTGTTTCCGTTCATCTTATTCGTAATGGTGCTTCAAGCACTACGTGAGTTATACAGCCGAAGGTAGGAGAGATGTCTTCAGGCCTTTTATTAACTTTTCTTCCGAATCAGAGCGACGCTTCATTGACAGCATTAAGCAGAGCATTGAGAGCTCACGGTTCGCGTCATCGCGCCTTCAATTTTTCAGATGCAGCACGGACGTCCATCAAGTACGAATAGTTGTATCTCTGCGCCGTCGTTAACGCGCACCCTTTCCCTCGCTTTATTACCATATTGTGTTTGTTTGCGTTTGTCTTATTTGTAATGTTGCTTCAAACTAGAGCAGAGCATTGCGAGTTCACGACTCACGGCATCGCGTCTTACATTTTTCTTTATCTAGAGAATCTACTTAAAAAAGAAAAAAAGAAAAAAAAAGAGAGAGAAAAAAACAGGAACATAATAATCTACAAGTAATAAAATCAGGGATTGAGAGACAGAACTTTATTTTTTATTGGTTTATTTTTCACAAACTAATTGCGGTGGACGCACGGATCGTGAGACAGTATGTTGGAGTTTTTTAGCCAGCGTGAGTAAAAAAATCAGCATAAAACTGAAAATCTCAACACAGAGGGAAAAAGCTCATATGAGCACAATTTTTTCTCAAAGACATATGCTGTTTGGTGCAACACTAGTTACGAGTACGACCATTCAGGATTCAGGAAGGGTGCGCTGCACTGAGGATTGGCCCACCAAGGCCGAAATTGGCGTCAAGGCGCCAAGGCGTCTGCAGTTGCCTTCCTGGTCGTAACTAGTGTTGCATCGAACAGCATAATTATCTCTTTGAGGGAAAATTGTGCTCATATGAGCTTTTTCCCTCTGTATTGAGATTTTCAGCTTTATGCTGAATTTTTAACGCACGTTGGCTAAAAAACTCCGACACACTGGTTTACATATTTTTGTTTTAAATGTCGCAGACGGTATCAGCGATTAGCTCTCTAACTTTGGCTCTGTGAATTTCGTAGGTGGTGACTTCCGGTAGTGTCATGTTGAGGAGTATATCCATGTAGTTGTTATTGAGTAACCAAATGGAGCCCCTCTTGTCAACCCTTACGTCGATCGGGTGTGCAAAATCGTGGACTCTCCCCTTCACTGACCATTGAGTCGAATCGATGAACTCGTTGCCCCTGCAAAACAAGAGCCAAGAGAGAAATTTAAGCTTGGAGTCGGAGCTTGGAACGTGCAAGGAGGAATTTTTTCATGTAAAAACCCTCGAAGATTCACGCGTAACTTTTCATTGAATAGGGAATTGGCAGCTGTGCCTGAAATTTGATGAATTTTGTGTTTAAGTGGAAACTAGGTACTGAGTGAACTGAACACGTGAGATACTACACAACGCGATACAACTATTTCAACTCCTGAGTAGGCCTGATTGCATAATCACTGATTTGAAGGATAACTGAGTTTTCTCACTTGGTTCTTTCAATCCACGAGAATTTGCAGGTGTCTGAAATTTGATGAATTTCGTGTTTAAGTGGAAACCACTAAGTGGACTGAACACGAGGATACCCTTGGTTCATGTGTTGAACAATTATTTGAGAAGATATGACAAAATTATCTAATCTGCTAAAATACATGTGTTTAAACGGGAAATGCCGCCAGATGACGTCTCTAGACGGTGCATTTTCTCACTTGTAATTGTATTTTTATGATATTTCCTACTCGAAAAAAATTATAAAAAATACTGTGAAAATAGCTCTTCAAGCACTTTCAGTTGAAGCAATGAAAATTTGCATGCGAGTTCTCCATCCCAGAAATCTCAAAGGTATGAAAAATACGACGCCTAGCGACAGCGTAGGATACAACTATTCGTACTCGATGGATGTCCATGCTGCGTTTGCGAAATTGAAGGCGCTAAGGCTCGAGGCGTGAGCTCGTAGTGCTCCGCTCTATTCTGGCATTGAGGTTATAGCTCGGATTCGCGATAAAATTTAAAAAACGAGGCCGAATTACGTGTCTCCCCTCTTCGGCTATCTCGCTCGCGTAGCGCTTGAAGCACCACTGGAAAAATAGGAGGAACTGACACAACATGATAAAAGAGCAAGGACAAGGGTGCGCGTTAATAAAGGCGCAGAGATACAACTATTCGTGCTCGATGGATGTCCATGTTGCAGGAGCAAAATTGAATGCGCGTCATAGCACAACACGTGAACTCGTAATGCTCCGCTCCATGCTGCTGAGTGCTGATGAGATGTCGCTCAGGTTCGAGAGTTAGTCCATCATTTTATCCCTTTGTCTAGAGGAACCACCCATTTCAACTAATAGGATCGCTCAATACTCCCTGTGTTTTCTTTGTCTATTGCTTTGTCCATTGCTTTGTCTATTGCTTTGTCTGTCAGTTTCAACGCTGGAGAGGTCCCCTTGCTCAGAGTGGCAAAATTCATGAAAAATAAAATCTTGAAATTTCACGTGAGATATTTCATGAAATTTCAGGAATTTATGAAAGATTCTGAAAAATACCAGTTCCTTTTTATGTTTCGTAAATGTAAAAATTGTGACTTCCTTTTATTTTTGTGTGTTTGAGTGCGGAATGCATACTCTAGCCCCCAAGAAAGATGAAATATTTCATAGCCTCTTGAAATTTCATGAAATATTTCACTAAAACAAATCTTTTATTTCTTTCCTACGTTTCATGCCACCCTGCCCTTGCCCAGTGTGGCATGAAACGTAAGAAAGAAATGAGAGATTGGAAATAGTGAAATATTTCATGAAATTTCACGAGGCTGTGAAATATTTCATATTTTTCAGGGGCCAAAGTATGCAACCCGCACTCAAACACCCAAAAATAGAAGAAAATTAAGATTTTCACAACCTTCGAAACATAAAAGGAACTTGTATTTTTCAATATCTCTCATAAATTTCTGAAATTTCATGAAATATTTCACTAAAATTTCCAATCTTTTAATTCTTTCCCACGTTTCATGCCACCCTGCCCTTGCCCCCTCCTAGTTCTGCCCATGGCTATGGAGTGTGGACTCACTTTCTGTAGCTCCAGCAACCGAGGGCGTTACTGGCGGTGAGGGTGTAGAAGAGCACCCCCGTTTCTTCGTCGAAGGTGGAGGCGGTGGTCTGACTGGAGGGCGAGCGGTTGCCCATCATTTTGAACTCGTAGATGGCCTCGCGTTCCACGTCGATCGTCTTGTTGCGGAGGACCCGGGTGCTCACGATGAACTGGACCCGACTCGCGAACGGGCTGAAGAACAACCGACGAAACTCGTCCTTCTCAACCTGCAACACAGAGGAAACTCTTCTATTATTGATAGATTTTTGTGAAAAAAAAAAATAGATTCTGATTCTTTGCGCCGAAAAATCGATTAAAACGGACCGGTTTTACGAGGTCGATCAAAAGTAGGAATCGATTTTTTTAAGCCGGAATCGAATTATTGAGAAAAAAAAATCGACGTCTCCGACGTTAATGTGTCACACAAGACCTAGATTCTGTGAGACGGAGAAACCCGAGTTTCATTTCAAGTTCAGTTTTAGTTAATATTCATAAGAATTCAGATAATTATGTACCATCGTGATGGACCCGGGAGCGAAAGCTCCGAACTCGAGCCTCGCCGGGCGCCGGCGACACACTGATTACCATTGGCTCCCAGCGGCGTTCCAGCCACAGTTAGTGCACCAATCCTGATCCGCGCTCGCGCGGGAAGTTCAAACTCTCTCTTTCCGCCGCCTGCCACTTTCGAACCAACACAGGAGGCTCTCCCGCCAACATTCGCCGCTCAGCCAATGGCCAATCACGGACGAGCTAGCGTTACCGTTTTTACTATAAACTTGAATGTGAATTTCGTATTCAGAACTCCTCTGGGAGAAACCGATTCATATTTAAATCTTAAATAAAAATGATCATAAGTATTAATAAACGCAACAGTTAAATTAAACATTTTCGAGACTTCGGAATAGAGAATTACCTGCTTCAGTTTATTCAATGCAGATTTGGCAGAAGTCCGTCGTCGTAAGCACGTGAAGTATAGTCAGGTCGTTTCTTTATATGGGTGGTTTCACGATAACTGGAATAGTTTTGTCGCCGTAACAGACAACACATTTTTCGGTCATATTTTTAGTAATAATGATAATCGCTCGGATTTTTTCGCATGAATCTTCCAAGGGTTACGTATTATTATAATACTTTCTAAATATTTTTTGCTCTACTTCTCAATTAATATTATGTAAATTCCGATAATATGCTACCTGTCAAGCGTTAAAAAGTCAGCGTAGCAGACAGCACTTTTTCGGCCATTTACATAGTAAAATTGAGAAGTACAGAGATAAATCGTTGAAAAGTATTATAACATGTAACCCTGTGCAAATTAATACAAAAAATTTGAGTAATTATCATTACTACTAAAAATATGACCGAAAAATGTGTTGTCTGTTACGGCGACAAAACTCATCCAGTTTCCATGAAACCACCGATATCAATTAATTTTTTTCTTCGAGTTTTCACGGAGTTATCTTCGCACAATGAATAAAAACCACGGAAGTTTTTGAGAATTGACATGGAGTAGTTTTCCATTGAAAAAATAAAGTGAGACAGGATACAGGAAGTACGTAGCAAACTGAGGTACGTGGTATGGTAGTTTCACCATCGATATTTTCTCTTGTGGTAGGTGGATTAGAGAAAAGTCAGAGGTATTTCATGACTTGGTAATACTTCATGGATGTGGATGTGCCCTTGTTTTGGATTAAAGTAAAGTCAAAGATGTTTTGTGAATACTGAATACTACTTTTCGCTTTGCATCAAAGAGGAGTGAGCTCATAAATGGTTTGATGGCCCTGAAAAGGGCCGTTTTAAAAATGAAGTCGATGAACTGTGATAGATATAGATTACGAACTTCGTTCTCGTTTGACAGAGTTAGGGGAGGAGACTATGATAATCGACGGTAGTTTGATCAGAATGCGTGAGCCACAGTCTTCGAATGCAAATTTCACCTTTCCTCCAATTTGGGTGATGCGAGGAATGGTATTATTGATGCTTTTCACAATTTCTTCCGGAATTTGCGTCATAAGGGTGGCAACCATTTCAGCCGACTTGCATTCCAATTTTTCGCTGGGGGTTAAAACAAAGGTGAAGATGGATTTGGCTTTCGATATGTGTAGTTGTGAATCCGAAGTTGAGCACGGGGGATTAGGTAAGTAAGTTCTACCCCCATAGGATGTGGCTGGCAGCTTGACAACAATAGTTGTTCGATCCGATGTGTAGTTCAGCGTTATAACTCCGCCAGCTTCCTCGATTTTGTCGTGATACTTCATGACGCATTCTGACAGTTCGGCTGAGAGGCTACTTTTGAGGTTCATGAGCGACACGCCAGAGTGATTCAGCACTTTCGAGACGTTTTGAATATCAACGACCATTCGTCGAAAGCGTGAAGAAAATAGACGATCCAGGTGAGCGGCAGGAATCGGGTTCGTGTAATTGCACAAGGACACGATACGAACCGAATTGGAACTAGATGAAGCGGTGGTCATCTTGAGGTTTACAGGGATGAATCCGGATGATTTCACCTCGCCCATGGATGTAACTCTGACTATTTTCGTCCAATGTCGGATTAAGGTCTTCTTCGTCACTTTCAAATCAAGTCTGGTCCTGCCCGGTTAAGATTGGGATAAGCAAGAAACACGCGCACGTCCACGCATAGGGGTTGGCCTCAGTACATTGATACGTATTCGATAAAATTATCAGCTGCATTTATACATAATTCGCTATTGCGTCCAACAAATCAGATCTTACCTTTTTCCCTCCTTAAATTGGTCACAAAGAATCCAAGCGCGCTGAGGACGGGTGTTAGCCAATGAGAGCGGAGAGTCGCTTAAGTAGCACTTCCTCGCCGCGCATGGCACCTCGAGTGCACCGTTCCGTGCCCGATCACTGAGGTTAAGCAACGTCGGGCCTAGTTAGTACTTAGATAGGAGACCGAATGGGTAATCTTACTTTTTACACGTAATTTTACTGTCTTTCGAATCAAGAAGCAAACCGACACACGTAACAAGCAAAAATAAATGTGAATGGTAATTGTATTACTTATGAATAAAACATTTTCGCTCAAAATTGATAGAGTGCAATGAAATTTTTGCGCTTCTTCATTTTGGCAAGGAAATGCACTGAACCGATCGAATTCGAAAGTTGTACCCATGCTCACTTCCATAGTTCCATCACCTTCGCGTGAGATTCATACTTAGACCGTGTTAGGCAGAAAGAAACTAAGTCCCACCAGCCATTGCCAAATTTATATCGAATTTTTTAATTTTTTTACAGGAGAATATTTTTTCGGATTATGTTTTTATTTTTTTTGAAAGTTTCGTAGAATTTGCTTGACGTTACCAGGAAATCCCTGAAATTTTTTAGAGAATCACACTACACTACACCGCTCTTCCGTAAAGGAAAAACTATCCGATTAAATTTGATTGGAAATCGTAACTTCAAAATCTATGCTCCTATATTTTATTTGTTCACAAGGAGAACAAACCAACATCTTGGCCCGAAATTAATTCCCAGAATACGCTTCATCCAGAGAGAAAAACGCAGAAGTTTAAAAAAAAAAAACAATGTCTGAATGGCAAAAAGGGGCATCTGAATTGTAACCTATAAAAATCATCAATAATTGTGTTTCATTATTTCCAAGAAAATCCAATCAAAATTGTCTCTTGCGATTTTGAGTGATTACTATACAATGTAGAAAATACATTTTAGCCCCTTTTTTCACTGAATAATTTTTTTTTCGACTTTCAGTTTTTGGAGGGTAAAAATATACTTCTAGTGGAACTCAAAAACATGCTTAACTCGATTTTCTCGAAAATATGAGTTGATTCCTTTCAGATGAACTCGGTCCAAATTTTTTCCTCTGAAATTTTCAGACAGGTACTTTAGTTGAATCGCGCATAAAATTCGTCGAAAAATGGAGGAGAAATATATTCGTAGGTTTCCTTGAAAATTTGCAGAGTATCAAATCTCGAGGCTCGTCCCAAGTAGCAGCGATCGCGATAAATAGCGATTATAACGGTTAGTTATCGCAATTATATCGGCGGCAATGTATCTAGATATTATCGCATTAAAAATTGCGATATATGGCGATTAAATCGCTACAAATCGCAATTTTTTGTTCGATAAAATCATGATCAATTTTCGTCGACAAAATGACATTAAATCGCCATTTATCGCGATTTTTATTACGCAAATATCGCGACAAATTGTCGGGCGATAAGAGCGCAATTTTATCGCGATAAGATTGAGGACAATCGCTCATATGTTGATGTCCCTGGCGATTTAATCGCCGATAAAATCGCACGATATAGCGATTTTTCCGTTGAGAAATGCTACTTGGGGTGCGGCGTGCTCCCTAAGCATGGATGTATTTACTAGAGTCCCTTCATACTGAGAGTCAAGACAATTCGGCTCATGGATGTCACAAACGGGAATAAAGATTACAGAAATTGAACGTTTTTCGTAATCTTTGATCGGCCCATTCTCAAATGCCTTTCTCCGTTCCTCCTCTCATTCCGTTTGTTCCTTGCCGAACCCGTAATTCCCTGGTCCATTCCAGATTATAATATTTGCAATTGGTAAAAATGTAATCTTTATTCCCGTTTGTGACACTGTGGAGGCCTAAAATACGGGAACCAATCAGAAATGGATTCAAATTGTCTTGACTCTCAGTATAAAGGGACTCTAGTATTTACCTGAGACAAAGCGAGACTGTATACGCCGAACCGCGCCTCCCTCGATCGCATTCCATCATCAACGAAGTCGATAAGAGTAGGATCCGTGTGAAAGAATGAATGTGAAATCCTGCGAAAAAAATCCCGTTTACACACATTTATTATTTTAAAGATGTTTTCGAAAATGGAGCAGTTGATGTTTAACCCTAAAATGTTAAAATAAATCAACGACTGGTTGTACTCATCGATTTTTTAGATAATTGCTTTTTCCCTCTAACAAGACCTCTTGAGATTGAGTTGGTTTAATGGGGCCTTCGTTAGCTGTCCTGGTAAAAGATATAGGCACGACTCATTTGTCCTGCACCGCGCTGCAGTACGCGGTCACCACAGCCAGCTTGAGTGGTAGGCGCTACAAGCAACTATTTTAACGTGACGGAGCGCATATTGCATACCGGAAACATTGAAGGCACTTTCGATGCAGCGCCTGACGCAGTCCCTTCTCAGTGGATCAAATGTCTTTAAACTATACAAGTTTTTCATCACGTGTGAGTTTCGTCTATCTATGTACTCTAATTGGACCGCGTTCAAACAGAAAGGAACTAAGTCACATTAGGTATTGCCAAATTTAACTGGGCAGTTTATTTTTTTAAAACAGAGCGTTTGTGCGGATTCCCTTGACATTTTCAGGAATTTGCTTCGTACTGTAGAGGAAATTCACTGAAATTTGCACTAAAATTCGCCCAATCGTTTCCATGTGAAGAATTAAAGTGCCCAATTAAATTTGGCGATAGATCGTCACCTTACGGTCAAAGTATCACAAGTGCCATGCAACGTTTCAAAATTTCTGCCGCAATTTTATTTTTTCGTAGAGAAATTGTTGGTTAAATATATAATATTTGAAAATTTCCCTGTATTTTACCGGCAGCACAAAAAAAATTCAACGAAATTTTCGGACAGCTTCGTTGAAAAAAATAAAATGGCGGCAGAAATTTTGAAACGTCGCATGGCGCTTGTGATACTTTGGCTTGGTGACGAGCTGACGTGGCCTGATCTCTTTCTGATTAACGCGGTCCATTTTTAACCATACGTTAAGCCTGGGGTACATCAAGTTTCATCAAACTTCTGCCAGTCAGTTTAGTCAAAGTCAGAAGCGGTTTGCAACACCGGATTTCCTCCATTTAACCCCATGCGAAATAATCGATTCTTGTTGGAACACCTAAGGGCTAATTTTCGAAATTGATAGACTAAGCAATAGACAAAGAAGACAAAAAGGATATGGAGGGATCCTATTGCTGGAAGCGGGTGGTTGCAATGGACAAAGGACGTCGGAAAACCGCACCTGGAAAAACGTCACCGAAAATAAAATCAGTTTATTAGTTTCTTGAACATACCCTGAATAAAATTCTTAACCCAGGTGGTTATTGATGCCATCTTTCAAAGAATTAAAGGCATTTTCTCAAAATTCACAGTCCTTCCAAGAATCGATAATTTTTCATATTTTTGAATTTAGGAAACGCTGCCAAATTGGACGTATTTCTGTCAAACGGAACCATGTGCATTGAGACATGAGCCCTGATGCCCATATGAATGTATGCATAATAGGGCTTACGTCATAATGCACATAGTCCCGTTTGACAGAAAGACGCCCTATTGCTGGATCCGCCAATGGTTAAATGGAGATGTTGCATGTGTGAGGAATTTGCGATTTGACTGTTGATTCTCATGCAAAAGTTCGCAAGAAACACTATGGTGCCTCTGGTTTTCTCTAAAATTAACTCCCAAGCTCAAAAAAACTCTGAAGTTGAGGCCAAAATGGAGGAGATATCCCACGCTATCCTGAGAGTCCGCCTCTACATCAAGACAGACTCTCCATGCAAAGATAGGGAGCAAACACATTGACAGGGCTGCCACTTTATTTGGGGACTCTAAAACTGAAAACACGGCATCACTGCTAATGTATTTGCTCCCTATCTTTGCATGCATGGAGAGTTTGTCTTGATGTAGAGGTGGACTCTCAGGGTAGGGTGGGATATCCCCTCCATTTTGGCCTCAACTTGAGAGTTTTTTTTGAGCTTGGGAGTTGATTTCAGGGGAAACCAGTGGCACCATCGTGTTTCTCGCGAACTTTTACATAAGAATCAACAGTCAAAACTCAAATCCCTCACACATGCAACATCTCCATCGCTGAATCCGCCAATGGTTAAATCGTCACCTTCCAGGCAAAGTATCACAAGCGCCATGCGACGTTTAAAAATTTCCGCCGCCATTTTATTTTTTTTACAGAGAAATTGTTCAACGAAGCTGTCCGAAAATTTCACTGAATTTTCTTTGTGCTGCCGATAAAATTTAGTGAAATTTCCGAACAGATTCAACCAACAATTTCTCAGTAAAGAAATAAAATGGCGGCGGAAATTTTTGAACGTCGCATGGCGCTTGTGATACTTTGCCTGAAAGGTGACGAAATTGTGAATGGATCACTAGACAGGGTACGAATTTTAGCATTCTAATACTTGTTTCTGAACCAAAATTTCATGTAGAATACGATTCGCGCAACAAAAGTTATTGAAACCAACTCTTAGCGAAGATATTAACGTTTTTATTTCACATCAGTCACGAGGAATTTGAACTGGCCGCTCACAAGAAACTCAAAGCTCTACGTGAGTCAAATCGCGCACTACAACGGTTTCAGCAAGCTTCTCAATGGAGCAATGTTCATTTCCCACCATGTGTTGTTTAAACTATAAGCAATTTGCTATAGCTGAGCCAAAGCGTCAGGACTGAGGTTGCCAGATTTATATATCGCTGAGACGTTGATGATAACGTTTAGCGCGCGATGTGAATCACGTAGTGCATTGAGTTTTCATGAGCGGGTGGTTTCAATTCACGCATCAAGAATCATTAAATATCTTCGTAAGGAGTTAATTTCGGTAATTTTCGTTGTGCGTATCGTGTTGTACGTGAAATTTTGATTAAGAAACATGTATCAGAATGCTGAAATTCGTACCTTGTCTAGTGGTCCATTGTTTTCGTTGATTTGACATGGGACGACTAGAGTCCCTTTATACTGAGAGACAAGACAATTCGGCTCATGGATGTCACAAACGGGAATAAAGATTACACAAATTGAACGTTTTTCGTAATCTTTGATGGGCCCATTCTCAAATGCCTTTCTCCGTTCCCCCTCTCATTCCGTTTGTTCCTTGCCGAACCCGTAATTCCCTGGTCCATTCCAGATTATAATCTTTGCAATTGGTGAAAATGTAATCTTCATTCTCGTTTGTGACACTGCGGAGGCCTAAAATACGGGAACCAATCAGAAATGGATTCAAATTGTCTTGACTCTCAGTATAAAGGGACTCTAGGGACGACTGACTTGTGCCAGAAATCGTTGCGCCAGCTGTAGACGAAGAGGAGGCAGTTGCGGTGGTCGGAGACGTAGGCGAAGGCGTTGTTGCAGTCGGCCGTCGTGACGTCGACGACGATCGTCGCGACCTGGGGCTCCTGGAATCCGTCGCCGAGCTCGAAGAACCGCGAGCGGAGGACGCGGTTCGTCTCGACGTCGAAGACGTGGACGCCGGTGGCGCCGCGACGCTCCTGCGCGTCGCCGCCCTTCACCGTCCCGGCGTCGAGCGCCCAGAGCCGGTTGCACCGGTCCAGCCGCACCGAGACCACCGACGTCATCACCCCGGACGTCAGGTTGTGCATCCGCAGGTTCGGGTACGGGATCAGGAGCGGCGACGTCAAGCCCTTCGCCGTCGCACCTGGAAAAACGTCACCCAAAATCAAATCAGTTTAATAGTTTCCTACGCATAGCTCGTATAATATAAATGACCCAGCGGGCCGATTATTGAGATTTATAGACAAGAAAAGAAGAATCCCTTTTTCTTTTTTCTACCTCTTTCATTTCCTGTTTTCTGCTTTCTCCTCTCTGTCCACCTCCTCTACCGATGTCCTCATCTTCCAATGGTGGAGATAAAGTCTCTGGTTGAAAATGCTCGAGTCTGTCACATTAGGATTGTACCTTGTTTCCGACCAATGGCGAATTTTCTTCGAATTTTCGCTCAACAAGTTGCTCATCAAACATCATTAAGCGATCAGTAGCGTTAACCTCTGAACATAACTTTTGCCTTGACCCGAAGTTTAGGTCATATGGATCTCTAAAGTTTTCGGATTGAGCATCTGAACACTTTAGATCTAGCTATCGAGGTTCGGATCACACATCTGAAACTCCAGTTCTTACATCTGAAGTACTTCACAGTGGCGTAACGGGCGCCCCCGCAGACCCTGCTATGCAGGGGGGCCCTCGGCCCTCGGCCGCCGGATTTTTTTCTCTCTCTCTCTTTGATGCTTAGCTTTGGTCTCGAACTTTGGGCTTTTACTTACCGAGATGGGGCTTCTTCCGCTGATTTTTATTGTTAGCTCAGGGTTTTTCATACTTCCTTTGGACTGTTCCTGACTTTTTTTTTGCTGAAGGGCCCCTGCCTTCCAATTTCCACTCAGTGATTACTAAAAATTTCTCTTTTTTGTCACTTTCTGTAGGTATTTCGGGCTTTGGGTGACCCATGAATCTAAAGGGCCCACAAGGCCCTTCGATTCTTGGGCCTGCATGGGCCTTTCTGTAGATCCTGGGCCTGGGCTGGGCCCCCGCCACCCTTTAGATCCTTGATCCTTTAGGGGCCCCATTTAATCGGGTACGGGATCAGGGACGGTGAGAGGAGAGGCATTCCAAGTCCAAGTCCGTGATTTGAAATGTCTTGGGCCAAAAAACGGGAAGGGGTGAGGGGAAGAGAGGGGCGGGAGGGGGGATGATTTTGGAATTTTATCGACATGGGGGGGGGGGGCTAGAAAGAATTTTGCAGGGGGGCCCAGCGGAAGTCCGTTACGCCACTGGCCACTTCAGATGTTACTTCAGATGTGAGAACCGAAGTTGTTCGGATGTGAAAACCGAAGTAAAGTACTTCAGATGTAAGAACTGAAGTTGCAGATGTGTGATCCAAACCTCAGCAGCTGGACCAAAAGTGTTCAGACGCTCAATCCGAAAACTTCAGAGATCCATATGACCTAAATTTCGGGTCCTACGCACGAAGTTTTTTTCTCCGTGTTTTCTAAGATGTATTGTGTTTGGAACGCACTGGTGATATTGAAGTAGCTGAGGGTCGCCGGGACGCCCTCCATGATCCTGGGCGTGACAACGAACATCCTGTCCTCCCATATCTCGATGCTGAAAGGGATGGCTTGACCCTCGATGTAGTCCCCGCTGGAGGACCACTCCATCTCCCTCTCGGGCGAGCCGAAGTCGAACTTGATGCTCTCCCACGAGAACGCCAGGTCCAACTGCCGTCTATCTCCCGAGCAGATTCCCACCAACACCACCAGCAGCACTTCCAGTGCTCGCTCCGGGACCATAACCTGTTGACAAAGTTGCCGAGCTCAGATCTATCGATTGGATGGACTGAAGAAAAATTTGATATACAACAAGGCGGATGAAGAATAATGGTCACATTTCGTACCCTCTTGACGTCACACGGTATCGGGTACTCGGGCCGACCGAGGCC